AAAAAAGACCATTAGAACCATTAGGATCGAAACCTGTGGTTTTTGCTTTCTAATAGGAATTGGTTTAATTGTTACCATTAGACACCACAAGCTTCCTGTAGGACACCTTAAAATCCCATTAGGAGACCATCAAATGCATCTCGAATCAGTCCTGTTAAACCATTGTAGGCTTTTACACTGTGACGTCAGCCCATCAGGACAGACACAGAACACCATTAGTGACTATTGAACACCACTAGGAACCAGCAGAAACTTAATGGTTTCTGTTACAGGTGGGTGAGATGGCAAAGTGTAAAATCATGATACCTCTTGAAGTCTTCTTACGATATATGATATGTGTCATGGTATTTATTTTTTAGAATGTCTAATAAGTTAGAATAGACAAAGTAGTGTCGCCATTTTAAAAATACTATCAAAAACTATGAATCCAGTCGTTTGTATTCAAAATTTCACTCACTGCGCTGCTCTAAATCCAGTTAAACAGGGCTAATTAGGCTCTTTTTAATCAAACATGCAGTTTTTAAGTACTGATGTCCACAATACGCTCTGAAAAGCATATTTTCAGAATTTTCAAAATCATGATAAATATTGTCATATTGCCCAGATTTAGTTTCTATGATTTATTTTCAGCCGGGAGGTGAGTGGAGATGCACCAATCCCAGTTTTTCCTCTTCCGATAACTATTCTGATACCTGAACTCTGGGTATCTGCCAGTACTGAGTACCGATCCGATACCAGTACTTTTTCTTTAAGTTCTGTAAACCTCACTGTGTCTAACGAGGCTGTAACTACAGTAAAAAAATGAAAACATGAGAATGAAAAACAAAGAATTATTGCATAAAGTAGTTATTAATATACTTCGAGAGATTTGTTTATCAGCCAGACTTGTGCTGCTTGTCTTATCTGACGTTTAAACTGAGGTTTTTTAAAATGAGGCTCGCTTGTTATTCATTTCATATTTGCCCTCATTATTCTAATTTAGTTTTGCTGTCATCCTGACTACGTTTCATAACTTTTTAACCTACGCGAAATAAATAATAATGAAAAAAAAATTAGTTTTTTGCTCACAAAACTGATACAGTGCAAGGAAAAGTTCCTGCATGGGACATTTATTCTGGCGCACCGCAGCCCAGAAAAGAAATCGTGGCAGATTTCACACCTGCTAATTTAATTTCCATAAGCAAAGAAGTTTGCCTGTAATGTGGTCATTGATAATTCCTACATAAATGAGTTTTCTGTTCGTTAATAAATGCAGAAAGTGTTTTTGATGTTTATCACGTTTTGGAGTAACGCGCTTTAAGTGAAGAGTGACGTATGGAATGTGTATCAGACACGCCTGGCTGAGATCTGATTTGTTTAATAAGGTCAGTATTGGTGCCGATCCGATCCAGAGTATTGGATCAGTGCATCCCTAGAAGTGAGCTAGGTTCTGTAGTTGTGGTGCTCATCACCGATATGGAGCTGCCGGTCAACATACTCGTCCACTGTGTGTCCAGAAGTCTGCAGACTTGTTTCTTCTGTAATGAAGGTGTTAATAGTGAGCCTGTGCTGCAGTAACAGCCTCTGCTCTTCTGGGAAGGTTTCTAGATGTTGAACATTGCTGTGAGGATTTGATTGAGCATTAGTGAGGTCAGGTACAGCTGACGGATGGTCAGTTCTGAGTCACTTCAACTCATGCCAGAGGTACTGGATGGAGCTCCATCACTCCAGAGAACACAGTTCCACTGCTCCACAGCCCAATGCTGGGGGTCTTTATACCCCTCTGGTCAAGGAGACCATAGGATCATGTACAGCTGCCAGGATTGTCTGCGTACTTTTGGACGTATAGTGTATTTTAGCAGTTGAGTAATATGACATTTATCATTATACAGCAGTTAGTTCTGTCCGTGCAAGCTGATTGGTTGAGAGGCTGTCTTTTTCACAAACACTGTATCACTCCGCTGAGACGCCGTTGCTATTTCACGATAAAACACTCCCTCTCGTCTTCTGTTGCTTAATTATCATAATAAATTACGTGTCAAAATGTCACAGTACGCTTCTCTGAGCGTATCGTCAGTACATTACAAACAATGACCGACGTTCGCATAATTAGCCCTGTTCAGGTAGATTCAGTGCAGTGCACAATGTGAGTTTTTGATAGTGCTTTTTAAAATGTGGCGCTGCTGGTTCTTTTTTGTCTTTTCCAACTTAAAAGATGCCAGAAAAATGAAAAATCATGGCATTTTGCATGTCTTTAAAAGTTCGAGGTATCGTGATATTATATTTTTGCTGTATCGCCCACCCTTAGCTATAGTGTGCTTATAAACAAACGTCGTACGTTCTGTGTTTGTGTTAAGCGTCTGCGGATGTTTCTCCAGTTGCCACCGAGTTGTAGGGAGTGTTTGTTGTTGTGCAAACAAATGAGAGCTGCAGTCACGGTATGTTTAGTTTTCACTGTTAGTCTATTTCAGTGTCCAGAAAATACATTTGCATCCCTTTGGCTGTCGCCATCCGGCCAGATGACTTTGGTGCGTTTTTGTATTGACCATCAGTTTTTAAAATTTAGTCTGGGGATGGACGAAATGGCAAATAAGAGCCTCATGTTACTTCAAGATTCACAATACGGTCACAATATTTACCTTTTGATAAGTTGGGACTGGCAAAAATCATCCAGCTGTGCCACGTTTAAAAAAATGCTGTCAAAAAAACCGAACAGTTATTTTTTATTCAGCGTTTCACACACTGCGCTGCACAAAACCCAGTTAAATTAGGCTGATTATTCTCTCTTTATAATGAAACATGCAGTTGGTGAGTCTAAGCACTGACAATATTCCCAATATTCTCAGAAAAGCATATTGGGACGTAATTTATCGTATTGCCCACTCCTATTCTGTACGAATATTCTGTGTCCTCATAGTTCTTTTGGACTCTTTTACTTTATTGTAAATTGGTCACAGATATTATTTTTCTTTAAACTGAGAAATTTTAATTTTGTAGTTGCTCCAATAAACATTTACATTAAATAACATAACAAAAAATAAATGTTTACATTAAAGCAGCACACGGCTGTGTAAATGAATCAGTGACGATTTCTTAGCGTTTTAACTTTACACTCACTGTACTTCATATGCAGTTGTCTGCAAAAGTTTGGGCACCCCTAGCCAAATCTTTTATATTTATAATATTTTGTTAATTTTTCATGTGAAAAGTCTGAATATGCTAAACAATGAGCTAAACTAAAATATTTATATGTGATTAGCTTAAAACAATAATATTTGTGGCATGTGCAAAAGTTTGGACACAATATTCTTGGTTCATGTTCACAGATCTTAAATATAGTCATGTAATAATCAAGTCAGGAGAAGCTTGTGTTTCTTGACATAGTTGATGTTGTGTTTTGAGGTGTGTTTTGGATCTTTGTCCTGTTGTGAAAGCCAGCATCTTTTCAGCTTCTTGTTTCTTGTCTATCTGCATTCCATCTGCTTCCTGATATTTGGTGGAATCCGTTGTTCCGTCTACCCGTGCAGTGTTTCGCGAGCAACTGGCTGCCACACGACCCCAAAGCATAACAGATCCATCTCTGGCTCAACAGACAGCACGGTGTTCCTTTCATCAAATGCTGCTTTTTTTTCTCCAAACATATGTTTAGTGATTGTTAGTTTGATTTTACTTCATCAGTCCACAGCACTTGTTTCCAAAACGCCTCTGGCTGATCTGGATGTTTTGCGTACTCAAATGTTGACTTTTATGACGTTGCAGGTGAGGTTTCCTTCTGATGTCTCTTCCATGCAGATCCTATGTCAGCTAAACCTTCCTGAAGGTCCTTTGCTGTCATAGGGGGGTTTTGCTTTGCCTTTCTGGTCAGCATACCAGCAGTTCTATCTGACAGTGTTTCCTCGACTTTCCACCACAGTTCCCCTTAGTTAGCTTCATTTTCAGATCCCCACCCAGCCGGTCAGAGGAGCCCATGGTTGTTGAATGTTAGCAAAAGCTCATTACACTCTGGAATTCTCATCAGCTAACGGTTCTTGACCTGCCTAACTGGTCCTAACGAGTCGATTAAAGTCTAATGGGTTAGATCTGAGATTTTACAGCAGGATGGGTGTCCAAATTTCTGCTCTGCTATTTTATTTTTCTGTTTTGTACGTTAATCAGAAATACATTAACTCTGCATTAACAATCACAGCAACTTCTTTTAACTTCAAAAATAAAGTGTCGTTTGTCCCTGGCTGCCCGAATTTATGTGTAAATCTGTTTTGATTACAGTGAAGACTCGTTTAAAAAATATGAGGAAGTAAAACAATCAGGTGTTTATCAGTGTCAGTCACAGTGAGGTGTTACTTATTAGATATTCTATCAGAAATGAGATATTGGAGCGTAGCTGATGATTATTATTGATTTTTATTATTCTGTAACAGCTTTTATTTTTTACATTAAGGTTAATGAGTTAGTGTTTAAAATTAAACGTTTAGGATTTAATGGGTTAAAATGAGGTTGAGTTTTGGGGTTTAAGGGGTTAAAGGTAGGATTTTGGGTTTTATGGGGTTAAAGTTAAGGGTTGGGGATTAAGGGTAAAATTAAGGGCTCAGTTAAGAGGTACAGTTAAAAGGTTAGAGTTTAAAGGCTTAAAATTAAAGATTAGAGCTTAAGGGCCTAAATTAAAGGTTAAGGTTTAAAGAGTTACATTTAAGGGATCAGGGTTTAGGGTTTAAAGTTAGGGTTTAGGGTTTAAAGGCTCAAAATTATATACATAAAATGTTAACATGATATTCTTGTATTGTTTTAAATCCCCAGCAGTGTGGATGTAGTGCAGGTTTTGTTTTTCGAGCGTTAGTACAAGGTCCAGGTGAGTTTCAGCGCTCAGTTCAGACAGTGAGTAATCATTAAGTTGTTGAAATGGACTGAACTCCTGTTTACTTTTCTCCTTTGGACCTCTCTGTGTGTGTGTGTGTGTATAGGAACTGACTGAACCGCAGACGGACAGGCACACAGGTGTGTGTGTGTGTGTGTGTGTGTGCAGTGTGCCAGAAAGCTGTGTTCTGATTGGATAGTCCTGAGTTTGCTCCTATTGGTTGAGCATTGTTTCAAAAACACTGCCAGGAGCTCCTGGTGGTGAGAAAATACAAACTTCAGCTTCTTACATCATCCAGCATCTATCAGCAAAGGAGGACCTTCAAAAAATGGCGAGGCGAAATATGGTGTCTTATTCAGAATTCTCCATGTCAGAGAGTAACAGGTGCACCATTTAAGGTGGTATGGACTATTAGAATAAGGAGCAGCTCAGGGACTGAAGTTTTAGACTCTGTTCGTCTCTTTTTGGTCTAAAATAAAATGTTGTTTATTGTTGGTAGATCACAGTATCTCAGGAAGCCAGGAAGACGACTCATTAATTGATGAAAATGTGGTTTATTTGCACAGACGGACGACCGCCGGAGGGGACAGTCTGACACTGATCTGCAGGGTTGGATGAATCCTCTGCTGTGTAGTGAGAAGTAAAGGCTTTATACATAAATGGATCCAACAAAGACATTGTGGTTTCTCGGCTGTTTAATGTCTAGCTGTGTGCTATATCTATATGCTGATCTATAAAAATAAATTTGTGTTGAAGATAAATAACGTTAGCCACACGTCCAGCATGTCTCGAGCTGAAAGTTGACTGGTCTGTTTATGTTCTGACTTGTTTCCTGACGGTGGTGTGATGCGATACTGTATATGCTTTCTCTTACAGTGTTATTTTTAAGCAATAGGACCTGAGAGAGAGAGAGAGGGCGCGTTATTTCAGATATCACTGCTGTGACTCAGTCACAGGTACGAGGTGAAGGCGGGGACAGTAGGTCATCACACAGCCTGGTCTATTGCTTTAATCTGTTGCGTTTAAACAGTTCTGCAAAATAAAGAGTTTCCAGATGAAGCTAAATATGGTTTAGATCCAGTTGTTCTGTGTTGGTTTCTAGTTCACTCTAGTTTTAGTTGTTCCAGAAGCTCGTTTGTGATTTAGTCCTGCGTTTACTCTCTTTTCAGAGTCTGAGCCGGTCGAATGTTATTGTGTAGAAGTTCTCTAACGTGTCCGTTTTCTGTTTCTGTATGTGTTAAATTAGAAGCCTGTGGTGAATCTCGAATAGCTCCCTACACTCTATTAGGACTGGACCCGAATATACTGGACCGAATATTCGAGTATTCGGATATTCGTTCATTGGGTAGGTATTTGGTTTTTAACTTTGGGATTCGGATATTTGTTTTCTTTTTTTGTATAAATGTTGGCTATCAATAAAGGCTGTAAAACACCATTTGGGGCTCTCGGGAGAAACTTTTGACAACTCGAGGTTTCAGACAGAGAACAGAGAAGAAACAGCCTCTTCAGCGCTAACAGCTAAAAACACAGCCCTCTGCTCTACTCCGGAAAACCCACCGCTCCCCCACATTCAGGCTCTTCAACATTCACAAATGAACTGAAAACAGTAAACATTTTTCTCTTTAAAAAACGGAACTACTTAAGGCACAGTGTGGTGACGCCGCAATACAGCCTGTCAGCACATTTTTGTACTATATTTATACTTTTTCTAACCGCACTAATAAAATTTAGAGCATCATGTTAATGCAGTACTAGACAGCATGTATTCCCAGCATGGCTGCAAACAGCGCCCCACGTACAGGACCCTCACTAGGGCAGCGATGTTGCTGTTCATACCTCGAGTTACACCACCTCATGCGCTGTGCTTTAGTGGTGTAGATTTAATGAAGGTGGAGAAAAGCAGGAGGGCGCTCTTTTATTTTTATTTTAATAAAACTGTGTTTGCCTGGGATTAAACATGGAGATGTTTGGCATCCTTGGCTCCACAAAAAAAGCAGTTTTACCGCTACAGTCGATGGCAAAAGTTGGGAAAATTAAACTCTTTTCCGTCGCGGCTCAACTGAAAACAGTATCTGGTTTACCGCCAACGTGTGAACGCAGCGTCACGGTTATGGTTAGCTACAATGTAAAGCCAGCAACTCAGCAACTGGTGCTTAGCGGAACGAGTTATTTTTACATCTGATGTTGCTTAATGATGTCTTAATGTGAAGGCGTTTGTGGGGACCTTCTGTGAACAGTGTGATGGACTCCCATACTTGAATTTCTGAATGTTTTTGCTGTGATTAACTGTTTGTATTTACTCTGTTTACTCCAGGTGCTGTGCAGCTGTGTGTTTGTGGTCGATCGTCTGACCCTGTGACCCGGCTGTCCCCTCCCCGACCTCCCTGACCCCGCCCTGTCGCCCCACACAGACCCACACACCCCCTACACACACTCACACACACTCACACACACACCCTGCCCAGCATGAACGAGGTTAGCGTGGTGAGAGAGGGCTGGCTCCATAAGAGAGGTGAGCACCGCTGCAGCTAACGGATAAACACTCATCTGAGACACAGATCAAAGTGAAAATCTCACTGATGTGTTACTGTGTGTTTAGAACTGAGTCACAGTGACAGTTTCAGTTTGTCATAAACTGATGATGTTCTTCACACCTTAACCTGCTGGCTTATTATGTAATTGTTCATCTGAAGGCTTATTATTCAGTAACTTAATCTTAAGATAATGTGTAAGTTCTGCACAGAGCCTTAGTGCTGGTTTCCCAGACAGGGATTAAGCCTAGTCTTGGACTTAAACTGCAATGCCAAAGGTCTTTCATCATGTGAAGTCCTGTGTGTAGGCTTAGGTTTATCTGGGTCAGGGTTAGGGCTTAAATCAAGTGGTTAGAATTACGGTTTAAGGGGTTAAAGTTGGTAGGTTTAAGAGGTTAGAGTTAGGGGTTAAGATTTAAGGGGTTAGAGTTGACAGGTTTAAAGGGGCTAAAGTTAGGAGTGCAGGTTTAAGGGGTTAAAGCTAGAGGTTAAGGTTCGAGGGGTTAAAGTTAGAGGGTAAGGTTTGAGGGGTTAAAGTTAGAGGTTAAGGTTTGAGGGGTTAAAGTTAGAGGTTAAGGTTAGAGGGGTTAAAGTTAGAGGTTAAGGTTTGAGGGGTTAAAGTTAGAGGTTAGTGTTCGAGGGGTTAAAGTTAGAGGGTAAGGTTCGAGGGGTTAAAGTTAGAGGGTAAGGTTTGAGAGGTTAAAGTTAGAGGTTAAGGTTTGAGGGGTTAAAGTTAGAGGTTAGTGTTCGAGGGGTTAAAGTTAGAGGGTAAGGTTTGAGGGGTTAAAGTTAGAGGGTAAGGTTTGAGGGGTTAAAGTTAGAGGGTAAGGTTCGAGGGGTTAAAGTTAGAGGGTAAGGTTTGAGGGGTTAAAGTTAGAGGGTAAGGTTAGAGGGGTTAAAGTTAGAGGTTAAGGTTTGAGGGGTTAAAGTTAGAGGTTAGTGTTCGAGGGGTTAAAGTTAGAGGTTAGTGTTCGAGGGGTTAAAGTTAGAGGGTAAGGTTAGAGGGGTTAAAGTTAGAGGGTAAGGTTTGAGGGGTTAAAGTTAGAGGTTAAGGTTAGAGGGGTTAAAGTTAGAGGTTAAGGTTTGAGGGGTTAAAGTTAGAGGTTAGTGTTCGAGGGGTTAAAGTTAGAGGGTAAGGTTAGAGGGGTTAAAGTTAGAGGTTAAGGTTTGAGGGGTTAAAGTTAGAGGTTAGTGTTCGAGGGGTTAAAGTTAGAGGTTAGTGTTCGAGGGGTTAAAGTTAGAGGGTAAGGTTCGAGGGGTTAAAGTTAGAGGTTAAGGTTCGAGGGGTTAATGGGTTAAATTGTTGGTGTTTTCTTTTTGGGTCATATTTGTAACTTTCTTTTTCTTTTCCTTCCGTCTGTTTTTAAACCTCTCTCCAGGTGAATACATAAAGACGTGGAGGCCTCGTTATTTTATCCTGAAGAGCGATGGCTCGTTTATTGGCTATAAGGAAAAGCCTGAGATATCCGACCCCAGCCTGCCTCCGCTCAACAACTTCTCCGTAGCAGGTCCGTAAGTGTGGTGCTGAGGTGGTGCTGAGGAGCATGTACTCGGTGTTTGGTGAAAGTGCTCTTAATGGATGATGATGGAATGTAATGGTAACAGTAGTGACTAACACGTAAGAGTTTCTGAAAATCAGACATCACTCCTCTTATGCTTCAGTTCGATTGTTCTCTGTTTTTGTATAAAGTGTCCCTGGAATTGTGAATCTTTACTGTCATTATTACTGTTTTTCTTATTGTTGCTTAAAGCAAACATGCTTGTTTGTGGTGTTTCTCTCGTTCAGAATGCCAGCTCATGAAGACCGAGAGACCCCGGCCAAACACCTTCGTCATTCGCTGCCTGCAGTGGACGACGGTCATCGAGCGCACCTTCCACGTGGACACCAATGCTGAGAGGTGGGGGTCTATTTAAAGGTAGGTCTGTTATTCTGCTGTTCTGAATGTGTTCTAATAGATGCTCCGTTCCTCTCTCTCTCCAGGGAAGAGTGGATCCGGGCGATTCAGGCTGTGGCCAATGGGCTGAAGACTCGTGAAGAAGAGGAGCCAATGGACATCAACTTCGGTTCCCCTGGAGACAACAGCCTGGAGGGCATGGAGACGGCTATAACCAAATCCCGCACCAAAGTGGTCAGTGTCCTGATTATGAGGCTCCGAGAGAAAAGCAGTTTATATCACAATACCTCCATTTAGAGTCAGTTATTCATTCAGCCTAATGAGAAACTGTAGAACAGACTCAGTTTATATCACAATACCTACATTTAGAGTCGGTTATTCATTCAGCCTAATGAGAAACTGTAGAACAGACTCAGTTTATATCACAATACCTACATTTAGAGTCGGTTATTCATTCAGCCTAATGAGAAACTGTAGAACAGACTCAGTTTATATCACAATACCTACATTTAGAGTCGGTTATTCATTCAGCCTAATGAGAAACTGTAGAACAGACTCAGTTTATATCACAATACCTACATTTAGAGTCGGTTATTCATTCAGCCTAATGAGAAACTGTAGAACAGACTCAGTTTATATCACAATACCTACATTTAGAGTCGGTTATTCATTCAGCCTAATGAGAAACTGTAGAACAGACTCAGTTTATATCACAATACCTACATTTAGAGTCGGTTATTCATTCAGCCTAATGAGAAACTGTAGAACAGACTCAGTTTATATCACAACACCTACATTTAGAGTCAGTTATTCATTCAGCCTAATGAGTCTGTTCTACAATTTACTGATGAGCTCCAGCATTTCACTGTGGCCAAAAAGAGGTCCAGGTAGATCTTCCACTAAATGTGATGTACGACAGAAAGGAGAGACCAGCACTGTTTTCTCATGTCTTGATTTATTTTCATGAGTTTGACTTCTTATTTTTTGTGATGTGGTTATTTACAAATCCAAACCCTTCAGTGATTTTCTTATGGACGCTATTGAAGTTTGGCTCGTCAGTGTTTCTGTGTTCTGTCTTTAGACAATGAATGACTTTGACTACCTGAAGCTGTTGGGAAAAGGCACATTTGGGAAGGTAATTCTGGTGAGAGAAAAAGCCACTGGCGTCCATTACGCCATGAAGATCCTACGCAAGGAGGTCATCATCGCCAAGGTAACTGAACACGCATATTAACAGGCCGTGAGGATGTGATGGCGACTCTTTGTTTGTTTAGGTGTAACAGCGGACAATATGATGATATGCTATCATTATTGTGATGATTTTTGTCATGATACTCTTCTCTGAGTATACAGTGGGTTCAGTCAGCACTTCTACAGCACAGACCAACTGCATGAATCATAAAAAAGACTATTATAGAGAGTCTGTAAACAACAGCCAGAGTAGAGTAACTACATAAACGGCATATTAACAAATAGCTTAATGGATTTGATTAGAGCTGTCAGATGATTCAAAAAAATTATTATTGTCTCAGATTTCTGCCAAAACACACGTTTTCCACATAAAAGGCAGTGCATTTTGTTATAGATATATTTAAATGTAATCAGAATATTATTATTACTTTCAGAAAATCAGTAACAATATCTTGAATATGGATCCTGATCATGTGATCTCCACAGAGTGAACACAGCTTCCAGTTTATATCACCGACATCCAGTGAAAGGAACAGTGTCTGCGTATTTCAGCTAGATAGTATATGTATCATATACACAGAGTGTGTGTGTGTGTGTGTATGTGTGTATATATATATATATATATATATATGTTATATTAATTAATTATGTATTATGTAATCGTACATAGTCAATGAATGTATATCATATATATCATATACACAATGAGTGTATATCGTCAAATAGTCAATGAATGTATATTTCAAATATACACTCAATTAATGTGTATATCAAATGTATCATACAGTCAGTGAGCGTATACATCATGTATGTCGTGATGTTTTTTATTTCCTTGTTTTTCTTCTTAAATTGTTTATTTTTGCTTGAATTAAACTCATAGTTTTCTACAATCTCCAATTAACATAGCGCTGAAGATTTGCTGGTGAATTGACTAAGTTCAGAGAAACTACATACAGTGATGCATATCAGGAAAATGTCTTGAAGTCGGTGTGGGCGATATGGCATAACGACATCAGTGCTTTAGGACCTTCTGACACAGAAACAGTGCCTCATTAAAAAGATCAGTGGTGATTTTTATTCAGAAAAATGTTCCGCACTAAATCCAGATAGACGAGACAAATTATGTTCTCTTTTTAACGAAACATGCAGTCGGACAGTTTTCTTTAAGTACTGACGATATTCACGATATGCTCAGAGAAACGTGTGGTTTCACGATAATATTCCTTGCCTGTTTCTTCAGGCGCTCATAGTCTTCCAATGACATCATCCCGTAGTGCTGCCATGGGCAGGTTATATGGATCTAATCACCAATATAGCTCATCTTCTCTTTGTAGTGTTTTCTGGAGATGCATCTAAAGCCGGCCTCACACCAAACGGCTTTCCAATCAATTTCACTGTCGCAGACAAATCGAACGAAATCATGAGTCTTGCTGACGTCGCACTCGCGTCATCTCGATTAGTGAGAGGTGGTCGGGATGGCTGTCTTAGATCAGTCTTTTTCTTGTCTTGATGCTGCGACAAAATCAACCGTGTTTAATATTATTGTAAGTTTTAAGTCTTGGCTCATGCAAATAGTGACGTGCTGAGAGATGGAGGGAGGGAGGGAGAGAGAGAGAGAGAAATGAGCCTGAAATCTCTGTAAAAAGGCAAATCTGCTCCACTTTAATACAGTAATCATATTAACTTAAAATGTAAGCTGGCTGGTTTAATATTTCTGTGTATCAGTGCTGTAAGGAGACGTGCAGAGGACTTTAAGAAGGGCTTTATTGAAGAATCATCTGTTTTTTTGTTTTTTTCTTTCCTTTTTTTTTTTTTACTGTTACACTGGTTTCTTATGTTTCTTATGTTTTTTGTTCATAACACCCAATCAACAGTGCTGAATCACTGCGTGTTTTGTTGATGTGTAAATCTTCATTTATTATACAATTTAAAAAGTATCTGCACATTTTATGGCTTAATTTAAAAGATTCTGGGTGATGATCTGCCAGAGTATACAGTTCTACAGTGAACTGAGCCCCAGATCTTTACATGCTCAGCCAACGTATCTTCTCATCTGTACCACTACAGAGAGGAAGGAAAAGTGTTTTTCTGTTTGTAAATTTCCACCAGGTGCATGATGGGGAATAATCTCAAAAATCTAGTTGCAGTCTTGTAAATAGCGCCGCTGCAAGATTCCCAGTCTTTGCAAAATCAGTCTGTGACTAAAAACTTTAGATGTGCGAGGGTGTCAGACTTTAGTCTTTTACAAGTCTTTATAAAGTGTTTTAGTGTACAGTTAGCATGAAGCATCAGCATATCTGTTCATGTGTTTGTGGTCATTCTGGTCTGTGTTGTTGGTGTTTATCCTCCTGCAGGGCTGCGTCTGCAGTAATGGTGATGAGATGAGCTCCATCAGAGCACAGTCAGAGCTACAGCTCACCCACCAACATGGAGACGCCGACTTCTCAATGACTCAGCCGAGCGCTGTGAATTGTAATGTGATATTTTTGACGTCACCTTTAAACGAGTGAATGTGTGTCTGTGTTTCAGGACGAGGTGGCGCACACAGTGACAGAGAGCAGAGTTCTGCAGAACACGCGGCATCCCTTCCTCACGGTGCGTTCGGCTCCGCCGGTCTGTCTTATTGTGTTTAAACTGCACTGAATCATTTCATGCTTTAACCTCGAGTCTCTTTCTGACCACAGACACTAAAGTACGCCTTCCAGACGCACGACCGCCTCTGTTTTGTGATGGAGTACGCAAACGGTGGCGAGGTATTATCTTCTCACCCTTTCTTCAGTACACAGTATACGAGCTTATAGCGATAGTTTGGTTCCCTCTTCACCCCAGATGTAATCAGTCTGCCAAGACATGTTTGGTGTCTGAAGTTTGCTTCTTTACTTTAAAGGCTGATGTCGCTAGCAAGTGATGGAAGCTTGAAACTCGCCAATGTATCATACAGTGTATGAAATTGTGTCCATTAAACCACCACTGTAAGACTTTACCAAACCCTGGGCTGCCCAGAGTGTAGTGTTAACGCGAGGGTGTTTAATTCGGCCTGCCAGAAGGTTATTCTAATGCTGCTCCGCTCACTTAGAGACACTTTTATACTATATTATATATATATATATATATATTATATATATATATATATATATACACACACACTGATCACACAACATTATGAACACCTCCTTGTTTCTACACTCATTGTCCATTTTATCAGCTCCACTTACTATATAGGTGCACTTTGTAGTTCTGCAGTTACAGACTGTAGTCCATCTGTTTCTCTGACAGACACAGCAGAGCTGCTGGAGTTTTTAAACACCTCAGTGTCACTGCTGGACTGAGAATAGTCCACCAACCAAAAATATCCAGCCCACAGTGTCCTGTGGGCAGCGGAGGATGATTAGCTCATACTGTTCAGCAGCAGATGAGCTGTCATCTCTGGCTTTACATCTACAAGGTGGACCAACAATGCAGGTGTGTCTAATAGAGTGGACAGTGAGTGGACACAGTGTTTAAAAACTCCAGCAGCACTGCTGTGTCTGATCCACTCGTACCAGCACAACACACACACCACCACCACGTCAGTGTTACTGCAGTGCTGAGAATGATCCACCACCCAAACAGTACCTGCTCTGTGAGGGTCCATGGGGGTCCTGACCACTGAAGAACAGGGTAAAAGGGGGCTAACAAAGTATCAGAGAAACAGATGGACTACAGTCTGTAACTGTAGAACTACAAAGTGCACAAGGAGGTGGTCATAATGTTATGCCTGATCGGGCTGTATGTGTGTGTGTGTGTGTGTGTGTGTGTGTGTGTGTATATATATATATTTATTAAACTTATTAATTTCTTATTTCTTATGTATTTTATGTGTAATTTAGTAACAAAATATAGTGAATTTTTTTTAACGTTTAATTTTAAACATATCTGCTTTCTTTATTTGCAAATCAAATGTCAAAAACAAAATATACTTGTTTGTATAACGTTTGTCAGCTTGGCCCACCATGGCAAAAAGTTTGGGCACCCCTAATCTAACCTAGAGTTTGTCCTTTTTCTTCTTCCTTTCTTCAGCTGTTCTTTCACTTGTCACGAGAGCGCGTGTTCACAGAGGACAGAGCGCGGTTTTACGGAGCTGAGATCGTTTCTGCGCTGGAATACCTGCACTCTAGAGACGTCGTATACAGGGACCTTAAGGTAGATTCGTTATCTCTGTAAGATTAGCATTGAGTTATTCTTAAATGTTGTAAAGCACGTTAGAAACAATTGCAACAAATGTGTTGTATCTTTAATCAAACTTCTAGTTGCTTGTCAACCTCAAATAGCTCCCGATTCTCTTAATTGATCTCATGTTTAACTTTAATCGATAACATTTGTGTTGTTTTTATTTACTCAGCTGGAAAATCTAATGCTGGACAAAGACGGTCATATTAAAATCACAGACTTCGGCCTCTGTAAGGAGGGCATCACCAACGAAGCCACGATGAAGACGTTTTGTGGCACCCCAGAGTACCTGGCACCAGAGGTGTGGATACAGTGCCGACATTTCTTAGAAATTTTAATAAGAAAACACTCAAAGCACTTCACTGCTAAACTGAGTTAAAGTGATGAGAAGGAAGAGTAATCTGGAGTTATGCTGTTGTCAGAAATGCATTAGAAACCGTTGAACTGAATGTTTAACAAAACCATCTTTACCGTAACCTGGTTTTAAAAGAGCAGACAGTGTTTTCTGCTGAAGCGTGGACCTTCAGCTGCTGCTAATAGGGTGAAGAGTCGGACAAACTGCAAATAATTCACTGTTGACATTTCAACATAGATAGGAATGCTGCACTCTCATCTAAAAACTGGCCTTTTGCAATGATAACCGTACGCAGAGGGTTTACAAGTGAGAGGAGCATTAGGACATTTTTCTGTACTTGGTTCTGATAGTTTTGATTTTTTTTCTCTCTCCCTTCTTTCTCAGGTGCTGGAGGATAACGATTACGGTCGTGCGGTGGATTGGTGGGGTCTGGGTGTGGTGATGTATGAGATGATGTGTGGTCGGCTGCCCTTCTACAACCAGGACCACGAGCGTCTGTTTGAGCTCATCCTGATGGAGGAGATCCGCTTCCCCCGAAGCCTCTCGCCTGATGCCAAGTCCCTGCTGGCTGGCCTGCTGAAAAAAGACCCCAAACAGAGGTGAGGAGGCTAACAGGGCTGGGTCTACTGCAGCTTTAATCGGACATGAAATTTCATCCAAACCCAAACATAGCTGGAGGACATTCACTGTCCCAGGCCAAACCCACAGCACCAAGTTTAGAATCCGGACCCCACTGTGTCATGACAAAATTCTGTCTGAACCGACTGTAGCCCACAAAATTCTGTCTGAACTGACTGTAGCCCACAAAATTCTGTCTGAACCGACTGTAGCCCACAAAATTCTGTCAGAACCGACTGTAGCACCACAAAATTCTGTCTGAACCCGACTGTAGGCCCACAAAATTCTGTCTGAACCGACTGTAGCCCACAAAATTCTGTCTGCACTGACTGTAGCACCACAAAATTCTGTCTGCACCCGACTGTAGGCCCACAAAATTCTGTCTGAACCGACTGTAGCCCACAAAATTCTGTCTGAACCGACTGTAGCCCACAAAATTCTGTCTGAACTGACTGTAGCCCACAAAATTCTGTCTGAACCGACTGTAGCCCACAAAATTCTGTCAGAACCGACTGTAGCACCACAAAATTCTGTCTGAACCCGACTGTAGGCCCACAAAATTCTGTCTGCACTGACTGTAGCACCACAAAATTCTGTCTGCACCCGACTGTAGGCCCACAAAATTCTGTCTGAACCGACTGTAGCCCACAAAATTCCGTCTGTACCGACTGTAGCCCACAAAATTCAGTCTGAACCGACTGTAGCCCACAAAATTCTGTCTGCACCCGACTGTAGCCCACAAAATTCTGTCTGCACCCGACTGTAGCCCACAAAATTCTGTCTGAACCGACTGTAGCACCACAAAATTCTGTCTGAACCGACTGTAGCCCACAAAATTCTGTCTGAACCGACTGTAGCCCACAAAATTCTGTCTGAACCGACTGTAGCACCACAAAATTCTGTCTGAACCGACTGTAGCACCACAAAATTCTGTCTGCACCCGACTGTAGGCCCACAAAATTCTGCATGAAAGTTTCTGAAAGTGCTGTTTAGATTGAAGAGTTTGAATCTGTATTGTGATGTTTTCTTGTTGACAGGCTGGGAGGAAGTTCTGATGATGCCAAAGAAGTGATGAGCCACAAGTTTTTTGTCTCAATCACCTGGCAAGACGTGTTGCAGAAAAAGGTGAGAGAGGGAGTCTCTGAAATGGAGATATGTAATGTTTAATCTCCTCTAGGGGTGGGAGGTATATCAAAAATGTAATATTGCAAAATTCAATATTCAATGTAAAAGAACAATAAAATTGCACCAATTTTAAGAAATCTGAAAATTAGGAGAATTGTCATCGATGTTGTCATCGATGTTGTCATCGATGTTGTCGTCGTCGTTGTTGTTGTCGTCGTCGTCATCATTAAGTGCTGTTAAGTTGGTTCTGACTCCTGGTGACCATATGGACAGTGTACCTCCAGCGTGTCCTGTCTTCTGTTTGGATCTTCAGGCTTCTGAATGTCCTGTTCATGATTTTCTCATTGTCTCCATCCATCTTGCAGCTGGTCGTCCTCTTCTAATAATAATGTAACATAATCTTTAGCTGTAAAAAGGAACGAAATAATGAAGTCCAAGAAGTTTGTAAAATCATTTCTACCCCATTCTGTTCACTTTTCTATAAGTACTGATTGTTATTTGAATAAATACAACCTTAATTAATAAGTAAATAGATTAGACATGTAATGAAAGATCAAATAGTTAAGCATTGGCTAAAAGGGAATATTAATGTCTCACTAAAGCCGGCCTTAACCAAACGACTTTTCAAGCGATTTCACTGTTGCAGACGAATTTCCAGTGTTGGAATAAAATCGAGACTTGCTGGAGTTGCGTTGCTCTCAGGTCATCTCGATCGTTTAGTGTGAGGTGGTCAGGACGGTCTTTAATCAGTCTTTTTCTCATCTTGACGCTGCAACAAAACCATGTTTGATATTGTAAGTTTTGAGTCTTGGCTCATGCTCAGTGACGTGCCAGAGACGCGAGAGAGCAAGCGGGCGGGCGCAGCGCGAGAGAGAGGGAGAGAGACAGCAAAGGAGAAAACGTATCTGCTTTAATACAATAATCATATTAAATTGTAAACTGACTGTTTCAATATTTCAGGTTCACTGAGCGTAACAGGAATGAGGGAAATGTGCAGAATAACATCACTGAAGAATCCAAGTTTTTTTTCTTTTCTTTTGCTTTCTGTCAGATTAAAAACGTAACTGCACATTTTACAGGTTAATTAAAAAGATATTGGGTGGCGATCTGCCGGTATGCACAGTTCTACAGTGAACTTGGCTGATCTTTACTTGACCAGCCAACGTTTCTGCCCATCTGTACCACCATAGAGTGGAAGGACAAGTGTTCATCTGCTTGTAAATGATGGGAAATACTCTCAAAAATCTAGTTGTAGTCTTGTAAATAGTGACACTGCAAGATTCCCAGTCTTTGTAGAATTGTAATCTGTGACTAAAAACTCTGTGATGGTCTTTAGGTGTGAGAGGGCGTCAGACTTCAGTCTTTCAAAAGTCTTTTCAAAGTCTTTTTAAAGTCTTCTAGTGCATGGTTAACATAAGAGGCACTAAGAATGCATTAGGCCATAATGCATCGGGGCTTTCTAAAGCAGATGCCCTTTAGATGACCTTAGATGACCTTAGATGACCTTACTTGCAGGTGCACTCTCAGTGAGTCCCTATGATATATGGTCCAGTAGGGCCTTGTAGGATCAGATAAACTGGTGCAAACTGGCTGAAACTGGCTTTTTTTTTATGAAGTGTTGTCTGCAGTAAACTTAAGGGAAGCCACGTGATGGAGAAGTTTTTGAATAGGGTCTGATGGAACATCAAGTTCTGAGGTGACATTGTGATACCTCAGATAAGGGTATATAAGGGCTGACAGAACAGCCGCCTGCATGCTGAAATAGAGAAGAAGCCTTTGCTCTTTTCTCCAGCTCAGCGGCTGAACACACTTTCCTTTCTGACACTCTGAACTCTGTTATTAGTCTAAGTGTTTATCCGGTACTGAAAGATTTCTGTTCAATAATATTGTGTTGTTAGCCTGTTCCCCACTCTCCACTGCGTGAGCGGTTTAAGGTGGAATGAAAAATTCACATAAGAAGCTTTTGTTTTTTGTTCAGCGCTGAGCAGATATTTGTCTTTGTTTAACTTGTTTTCAGCTCATCCCACCATTCAAGCCTCAGGTGACCTCAGAAACTGACACGCGTTACTTTGATGAAGAGTTCACTCTGCAGACCATCACCGTCACACCTCCAGACCAGTGTGAGTACATCAGCCCAGCGCGGCTGTGACGGCGATCCTTTATCATTCTGCATTAGGATTTATAACAGGCGCTAGATATTCAGCTCATCTCTGTGAACTCTATGAAATGGTTGGTTGGTCTTCACTTTCAGTGCGAAGACAAAATCATTGGATATTTTTTGTCTATAAAGCAAATATTGGTCAGCTTCCTTTGTATTCGTCTGCTTTCATGTCAACAAATAAGTGCATATATATGCAGCTGGACATTCCAACAGTACAGTCTGAATGCGGCAAGGCAGCTTTTAGTCCCAGAGCTCCGTCTGTGTGGACTGATCTGCAAAAAAATATAAAAAAATTAGAGCAGGTTAATTCCTTGAGTGATTTTAAAATAACTGTTAAAGAATTATATCGTTCTGTTCTTGTTTCTGATTTGGTTTTGACTCTGATTTGATTTTGTTGGTGTTTCTTTGTGAGTTGTTTTGAGTGCTGCCTTCTCAGGGCTCACATGTAAAATATTTATTGTGATCATCCTGGTTAATTAAAGGTAAAATAAATAAATAAATAAAAATACAGGAAAAAATATAAAATCACCAATCAGTAGCAGTAATATTAGCGTCCAACTGCGCCAAACAACTGCCGTAGAAAAATGCAGGGTTTTCTTTGATCCTTTTAAATATAATACATCCTTTTCCTTTCCAAAATTAAAGGAAGTTTCCATGTAAATGATTTAGAAGCATTTAGATTTTTGTTTTAGCTGCTTTCCTCTATTCACCCCCCATTTAGGATGCTCTGTGGTGCCCTCTAGTGTTTTGGAGTCACGTTTTGCTATAATAGACTTCAGAGCCAGAATGAGCCTTGTCTGTGTTTCCTGTATTTTGATGCTGCTGTGTTCTGATTGGTGGAATATTGAATTTTATTTTTTCTTCTCTGTTCTGCAGATGACAGTTTGGACGCTGAAGATCCGGACACACGCACGCACTTCCCCCAGTTCTCTTACTCCGCCAGCGTTCGGGAGTGATGGACACGCACCCCCTACACACACACACACACACACACACACACACACACACACACACACACACACACACACACACACACCACACACACACACACCCTGACCAGCAAACTGGACCCCCACACCCTCCCAGCACATGCATATATATACACACTCGCACTCGGACCAGCAGACCAGCCTGATTTATTTGGGGGGTTTTACAGGCGAACAGACCCACGCACACTGTTTCTGATCGATCCTCCAGCCTGCAGTCACACTACACCTGCTCCACTGTAATTATCACTGTCGCAGGCGTCGCTATGGTAACAGAACCAGCAGGACACGCGGAGTGAAACCCCTCCGGTGGACATGCACCACGTTTCTTTTCCTCTCTTTGAGAGAGAAAATATTAAACTTCTGATTGTTACAGTTTTTCTTTTTCCAAAAAAAAGGAAAAGAGAAAAGAACACAAAGCCATATCTCTGCGACTTTACAAGTGCTCTTTCTGGATCGAGCTGTTACCGGCAGTGTTCAGAACTCTTTCTGAAACAGGAGAGAGAACCAGGAGGTGGGGGAAGAACATCACGCCTGCTGCTGATGGAGGAGAGCCTGTGTACAGAGTGGAGCCCGTCTTTACGCCTGCTCGCTTCGTTCAGGCTTCAGTATCGGTATCGTATCTGGATAGAGAGCCGCGTAACAGTGCAGGTGTAAATGCTGTAGGCAAGAGTCCGAACTTTTCAAATAGACATGAAAGTTTTAAAAACTTTGATTAAATTTGGATTACATGCAATTTTTTACATGCAAAGTAGCTTCTTTCTAGGGCTGAACGATTTGGGCACATTTTCTGACTAATACTGCGACTGTTTTCTGTAAGATGAGGTTTGAGCCTTTTTTGGCTAAGAAGACCAGCATATACTTTTTCTGGCTTGAGACTTGAACGCTTAACACAGCCTGCCAGTTATTTGTGTCACAGCACATGGATGTTTGGTTGCTTCTTATTAGTCTATTTCATCTAAACGCAGTTCACAAGTTCCGATTTATTCAGTTTATATAAAACTTGCAATGTGTTAATGTTGATAAAAAGACTTAAAGACTAATAAAAATTGCAGCTCTTGCGATTTGAAAATTGCACTTGATATTAAAATTATTAATCTTTCAGCTCTACTTCTCTCCAACGTTACACATTCTTATAAGAGCCATGAACCCTGTTCTCTACCAGAGGGCAGCGTAGAGCCTGTGTGTCACCTGGTCTAATGAGTTTCTGGTCTGTTTACTCCAAAGAGGGAGGCACAGTACGATGCTGCAGCTGTCTAAAGCAGACTGGATTCAGCGGAACCAGACTTTGAGCCTCTTTAGTGAATTTATCAGGTTTAGCGTCAGCTGATTAACTTCACTCACTAAAGTAGGAGGTGGATTGCGATGTGACGAGGCTGCTCTCTTTGGCAGACGATGAGAATCTGTTTATCATAAAGACTTTAGATGATCAGACACCAGATTTGACTGAAATGCCCTAAAAAGATTTAAAGCTGATCAGTCAAACCACTTCGAGACACAAATGTTATAAAAGTGCGAATGCGTACGTCTCTCCGAGCTGCATCCGACAACCAAAACTCCTCCCAATGCTGTGACTCCTCCCCCAGTTGTTCTGCATTTGTTTAAGACTCTGCCCACCGGACTGCCTCCGGTTCAGCCATGAGATTCTCCTCTGAGCTTAACTCAGGGGCCGTTAGTGGCCCACGCTCGTTAAAATAAAGCTCCAGTTTCGCGTCTTTATTCACTGCCTCACTATAATACTTAACGTTTTAATGCCTGTGTGCATCACTGTGTGAATAACGATGTGTAATAATGATTGGCTGTTGTACATGAGCTAATTTGCATATCTCACACCATAAAGCAGTCGGCGCGTTTGACTACCAGTTATACGACCGACTGACGGCACAGTCTGATTGGTTGAGAAGTGTTCTATTATGTGATAACGTTTTTATCACTGTATGTGTCAGTCTGCTGAGGAACGACTGGCTTTACGCTGCAGTTGACCGTTACTGAGAAACAAAAAATGGACACATTAGACGACTTCTGTAAGATAATATGTGACCTGGTCAGATTCTGAAAAAGAGACTGACCGCAGGACTACGTCAAATTCAACTAAGCAAACTGGAATCAGACAGAAACCAACTGAAAACAATTCGGCAAAACGAGGCGCTTTACAGACGAGCGAAACCGCATTCAGTTTCATCTGGAAACACTGAAAAACTGAGCTCAACCTGATATTCACAGTTGAACAGCTCTGTAATGCATAACGTCGGAAGGTTTCGCCGATACTAAAGCACTGCAGATACAATGTGGCTTTATTTTTATCAGTTTTTGATTTTCGTAACTGTTCTGTTAAAGCAGTAGAACACTGGAGGGACTTTATAGTGAATAACTTCACGGCTGTGATTCGGTCGCAGGAACGAGCTGAAAGTGACGCAGGCACTTATCGGAACACGTTACAGTCCAGATACGAGGCACAAGAAACGAGCAGGTGTAAACGGGTTCTCAGCACGTGGAACGTCCATGCCTTCATCAGTCTGTCTCTGTGTGTGTGTGTGTGTGTGTGTGTGTGTGTGTGTGTGTGTGTGTGTGGTCTGAATCTTCATCTTAAAGTGTGTGTGTTGGTTTTGTAAAATGGGCATAATGTGGGTTTTGGGAGGTGCTGTATTCGTGTAAAGGGAAGAAACAACCTGCAGTTCCTTCATCACCAGCCTGGAAACTTCTCCACCAGAACCTCCATCAGAAACTTTAGGACATCTCTATCAGAAATTTCTCATTAGTAAACTCCCGAGGTTCTTCATCAGAACCATCGGAGACGTCTCCTTCAGAAATTAGGGACCACTTTCCCCATGTGGTTTAAGTCTAGTCTTGGACTAAATGGAAGTGCTGTTGGAGAATCACCTCTGAAAATTCCTTTTAGTCTTGGATTAGTCTTAATCTGGGTCTGGGAAACTGGCCCTAATAGTCCTCCATCAGAACCTTCAAAAGAAATGTCACACACTTTTACATAAACACCAAAAGTTCTCCGTTAGAACCTTCTTCATAACGAAGAAGGCAGAGTGTCTCCCAGCAGAACCGCTGAGACGCATCCGATACTTTTCTACCAGGAACATCAGAAGCTCTTTATCAGAAATATCAGAAATGTCTCCATCAGAAACAGCTGTGTGTTCTACTATCACTCATGTCAATCATCTGTACAGTGTCGGAGGCATTGATGTAAAAAGATTTTATAAGTATGATTATTTGAATGTCCCCTTATTTAACACACAGTCTCTCTGTCTCTCTCTCTCTCTCTCGCTCTCTCTCTCTCTCTCTTCTCTCTCTCTATTCCCTCTCTTTCCTGTCTCTCTCTCTGTGTCTCTCTCTTCTCTCTCTCTCTCTCTCTCTCTCTCTCTGTAGTAAATAATGATTTGGGGTGGGCGGTGATGGTGATGGAGGTGTGTATAATGGTGTGTCTGTGTCCACCTGCCGTCAGATCACACTGCTCACTAGAGTGAGATTGTTTTTGTTTTTTTTTTTTCTTTTTGTTTTGTTTTTGTTTTTGTTTTTTGTGTCTTGCCTTTTTTGAGATGCTTCATTATTCGGGCGTCTGGTTTTGTTTTTTGTTTTGTTTTTCTTCTTTTGGATCAGTGCGCTCGCCCTTTGTTCACCCACTCCCTGAAATTGTCAATGAAATATATAAATATATATATATAAATATATATATTACAATAGTGAACATTTTTTCGTTTCTTTTGTGCTCTGTGTGTGTGTGTGTGTGTGTGTGTGTGTGTGTGTGTGTGTGTGTGTGTGTGTGTGCGTGTAAGAGGAAGGTGAGTCACCAACACCCCCCCCCCTCACACTCCTGTCCTTTTTTGCTCTTCATTATGTTTGTCCGCCAGGTGGCGTCCCCAGGCCGCACTCTTCCTGCAGGAGGAACTGCATCAAGAAACATGAACAGCAGTTTGGAAATATAAACATAAACATGCAATAAGACACAGAAAAACACAAAAACTGCGGAACTGATTTCTGTTCTGTTTCTCTCTGAATGATGAACAATCGCAAACAGCGCTAATGTGACGTACTAAATGAGGTTTTGCTAAGTTGCAGGAATGAGAACACCTGTCTGCATGGTCACAGCTGTTTGCTGTTGGGATGTTTATGCGAGTAAAAAATCTTTATCTAAACAGCGCTTCCTCTTTTACTGGCCAGTTAGCTGATTAAAGAGGAATTCAATGGAGTCGTTCAGAGATTCACAGTGGTTTGGTGTGAAATGGTTCAGATGTCTTTACAGTGGTGGTGATAGGAACCAGGGGTCGCCATGACTACAACACAAATATAGACATTTTATTTACTATCCAGAACCACCAGTGAACCTACACGAGTCTTCTGAGTTTATATGGAATGTTGATGATGGAAAATAGTGGAAAATCTGAAATAATAAGTTTTCTTTGGGGACTATTTTGCCTCACAGCGCCCTGCATGTATCCCTCCACCATGAATGGAGTTTAAGTTCTCTAAACTATCATAAAACAGTGTCTCAGTCATCAGGCAGTGAATTCATAACCATTTCATGTAGGAACTTTCTGTGAGGAGCTTTTAGAGGTGGACGTCTGGTTCCTATCACCACCACTGTGAACAGTTCTGACTCGGTAAGTTTATCTAGAACAGAGCGTTTCACACCAAACCACTCTGAGTCACTCTGAATGACTCTGATTACATCTTTCGTGGTGACGTCTTTAATTTGGCTTTATTTCAGTTCGAACTTCTTAAACCGCAGTCGAACGCGTCACAGTGACGTAGAAGGCGCTCACATGCGGCGGACAGCGGCAGGTGGACTTTCATCTCCTTATTATTAACCACTAAATTATGCTGAAAATTTAATCTGTGGAGTTTTCCTTTAATCTACTCCAGGACGGTTTAAGGTTCATAAACAACTCTCGTCTAACTAATCAGGGAAAGCTTTCTGACCAGTCAGGACATCCCACTGACCAATCAGGAACAGGCTTATGACCAATCAACAGCCTACTAACCAGACATCAACAGCACTGTGACCAATCAGGAACAAACTTCTGACCAATCAGGATAACCTTCTGACCAATCAGGAACAGACTAAGGACCAATCAGAACCACTCTGCATGGTCCTGGACCGATGTTGTTTGCATGCTTGCCTGGTGGAATTCCCCTTTAAATGCAGCATCCTGTTCTTCCATTCTGCTGCACTTCTACCCCCGAACAGCAGGTGGCGGTGCGCACGAGCTCTCTGTTGATTAGTCAGGTGCTTAATTAACCCGCGTGCAGGTGCCGGCTTCTAAAAGTTCGCGCTGTGTTTCGCGCGCTCAGGTAGCTGCAGATCCGGGTCCATCATGGCCCGAACTGGACTGTGTGACTCCAGGATGCTGCTGGACCCCAGAAAGGTCAGTTTAAGGGTCCCCACAGCGTTTCTGCTGAAGTGGAGGTGTTAATAGTGAGTCTGTGCTGCAGTAACTGCCTCTACTCTTCTGGGGAGGCTTTACAGTAGGTGTTGAACATTGCTGTGAGGATTTGATTGAGCGTTAGTGAGCTCAGGCACTGATGCTGGATGATTCTGTGACTGCGGTGCCGTTTAACCCTCATAACCCTCATAACCCCCAACTTTAAACTGGTTCTGATCATTTTCCAAAACTGGACGCGAGGAAAAGCTTCACTGATGGAAGCTCTTAAATCAGTGTGCTTTAATGACACCTGGCGGTTAAAGCATGAACTGCAGTTCGGCCTCTGGGGGCGTTTTTAGCACTAAATTTATGTCCCATTTTAAAAGGTATGAAGTCACTTTTTGTTTTATTTCGATAGAGGGAGCTGTACTTTAACACAAAGTAATTAAAATCCGCGTCTGTTCACCTCGTGGGGGTTTTGTGCTGTTCCTCTTCACTGACATTGAACTTCTCTGTGAAACGTTAATATTAGTTAATTAATATTTCAGCAGCTCTATTACTTTGTTACTTCTGAGGAATTTAATGTTAAACTAACTTTTTTCTTCCTATTAATTTATTTAATGTGAGTCATTTTAACGTGTCCCACATTTTATGCGCAGCCCTTTTACCCAAACTTATTATTTTATATAATATGAGGTTATTAGTAGTTGGCCTGCAGCGTGTGTCCCTGGTCAGGCTAGCAGCTCCTGATTGCTGCTTATTTTAGGCTACTTTTGCAACCCTCATTTAAATCTTCAGTTATTTTTATATAGAAATAACTTGATATGGATATTTTAATGAAAACTAATCTTCAGCTTTCCCTTCTGCTCTGTTCCACTTCATATATTTCTGCTGCATTAATGTCATGTTAATGAGGAACATGATCTGAGTTTGACCTTGTTTTTCAGTCGTTTATGGTGAAAACAGTTCAGGCCGTCTCTGATTGGATAGTCTAAAGTGGAAACTAATATTTTCTGAAGATTAAGTTTCTTATATTAATACTTTGTCAAAAAATACTAACAGAAAAAGTGAATTTTTGAACGGTTTTGAGGCCTGAAATGAGATCTCTTCACAAACAGTGCCTTCTGGCTGGAGCTCAATCTTTATATTCTAGTGGTTTTCATTAGTTTGATAAACAGTAAAGGTAATGAGGGTAATTAGTGATAACGTGATTCCAGAGTTGCAAAATGATGTCACTTTAGAAGTTAGAGATGCTTTACAGCTGGTATCTACAGCAGATCTCCTGACGAACTCGTGCACCACCTTCACATTTAATAAAAACGCTTCTTCTTAGCTGAGCTGAGAGCTTCACAAACACTGACCCTCCACTTCAAGTCCACCTCCTTGTTTCTACGCTCATTGTCCATTTTATCAGCTCCACTTACTATATAGGTGCACTTTGTAGTTCTACAGTTACAGACTGTAGTCCATCTGTTTCTCTGATACTTTGTTAGCCCCCTTTTACCCTGTTCTTCAGTGGTCAGGACCCCCATGGACCCTCACAGAGCAGGTACTATTTGGGTGGTGGGTCATTCTCAGCACTGCAGTAACACTGACCTGGTGGTGGTGTGTTAGTGTGTGTTGTGCTGGTACGAGTGGATCAGACACAGCAGTGCTGCTGCAGTTTTTAAAGTATGCAGAGAAACAGATGGACTATATATACAGTGCTGTGAAAAAGTATTTGCACCACCTGTTTTTCTAATTTTTGCCAATTTGTCACGTTTAAATGTTTCAGATCATCCAACTAATTATCATATAAGATAAAGGCGACATGAGTAAACACAAAATGCAGCTTTTAAATGATCGCTCCATTTTTCAAAGATAACGATTTGTTTAAAACCTATATCACCCATGTGAAAAAGTAATTGCTCCCTTAAGCCTAATAACTGGTTGTGCCCCCTCAGCAGGAACAACTACAACCAAACGTTTGTGATGAGTCTTTCAGATCACTGTGGAGGAATTTCAGCCAGCTTGTCTTTACAGGATTGATTTAATTCAACTACATTGGAGAGTTTTCGAGCATGAACTGACCATTTAAGGTCTTGTGATGGGATTCTGGTCAGGACTTTGACTTGGCCACTCTCAAACCTTCATTTTGTTTCTTTTGAGTCATTCACAGCTGGACTTGCTTGTGTGCTTCAGATGATTGTCCTGCGGCATAACCCGACTGTGCGTGAGCTTTAGGTCACAAACCGACAGGCGGACATTGAACATTCATGGTTCCATCAATTATGACGAGTCGTCCAGGTCCTGCAGACGCAAAGCAGCCCCAGACCGTCACACTACCACCACCATGTTTCACTGCTGGTGTGATGTTCTTATGGTGGAATGCGGCGCTAGTTTTACGCCAGATGTAATGGAACCTATGTCTCCAAAAAGCTCCACCTTCGACTCGTCAGTCCAAGGAATGTTATCCCAAAAGTCTTGTTTTTTTTGGCGAATGTGTGATGAGCCTTTGTGTTCTTTTTGGTCAGGAGTGATTTGTGCCTTGCGGTTCTCCCATGGATGCCATTTTTGCCCAGAGTCTTATTATGGAATTGTGTACATTGACCTTAACTGAGGCCTGCAGTTCTTTTAGATATTTGTCTGGGTTCTTTTGTTCCTCCTGGATGAATCGTTGATGCACTCTTGGTGAAATTTTGGTAGGTCAGATACTCCTGGGAAGGTTCACCACTGTTCCAAGTTTCCTCCATTTGTAGATAATGACTCTCACTGTGGTTCTCTGGAGTCTCAGAGCCTCAGCAATGGCTTTATAACCCTTTCCAGACGGTAGATTTCAGTGACTTTGTTGTGTATTTGAATCTCATTAAAACGTGGCATCATGTGCTGCTTTTTGAGAGGTTCTAGCTGCTTCACGCTGCCAGACAGGTTCTATTTAAGTGATGTTCAGATTCAGCAGGTCTGTCAGTAATCATGTCTGGGTGTGGCAATGAAACTGAACCCGATAGTCAATTGATTTTTGTTAACTGGTTGATTTAGTATGTAAAGGGGCAGTTACTTTTTCACATAGAGCAAGGTAGGGCATTTTTCCTTCCATAAATGAAATCATTAAATATCAGCATTTTGTGTCTTTTTTTTTATATATATATATATATATATAACATAAAAACCACAAATGTAATAAGTGGACGTCAGGAGATTTATTTATTTATTTTGGTCATATGAACACTTTTCGTTATGAAGCCGTATATAATGTAGGACAGGCATGTCAAACTGGGGACCTTCCAGTCCAAAGTGCTGTGGAGATCAGTGTTCACCCTCATCTAACGCTCTGAATTCAGTTCATGAAGGTCTGATTAGCTGATGAGCTGAATCAGGTGTGTTTAATGAAGCAGTGAGCTGAAGTCTGCAGAGATTTGGCCCACAAGGACTGGAGGCTGACACACGTGTTCTAGGACATTCACTTTGTCGTCCTCAGTGGTCTCGGTACAAATCACTGTAGATTTGCTTCTCTTTATATGAATCTGTGAAAAATGATCTTGAATTTGCAAACAATAGAGGATGTTGGAGTGAAACTCCACAGGTTATTATTGTTTAAACACAAATAATGAAACTGCTACTATGTTTATGCGCCTCTCCCTTCACACAGGCTGAAGAGCGCCCCCCACTGAGGACGTGGGCGAACATCTGCGGGGCGAGAGAGCGGCGGAGCTGCCCCGACGGAGACGAGTGGAGACAACAGCACAGAGACAAACAGACTGACCGCAGACGGCAGAACAGTGACCACAGATGGGTGAGAACCTGTGTGTGTTCGGTCTCATGAAGCTGGATCTCTCGTTTAACCTGCTAACTTCAGACTTGGTTCAGTCAGAGAGCTTGTAGAGAGGAGAACTGTCACTCTGTAATGTCTTCTGGGTTTCGGAACGCTAGAGGGCGCTCCTGAGCGAGTCCAAAATGAATGGGTGTGAAATGGTTCAGATGGTGATAGGAATCAGCGGTCGCCATGACTACAACACAAATATAGACATTTTATTTACTATCCAGAACCACCAGTGAACCTACACGAGTCTTCTGAGTTTATATGGAATGTTGATGATGGAAAATAGTGGAAAATCTGAAATAATAAGTTTTCTTTGGGGACTATTTTGCCTCACAGCGCCCTGCATGTATCCCTCCACCATGAATGGAGTTCAAGTTCTCTAAACTATCATAAAACAGTGTCTCAGTCATCAGGCAGTGAATTCATAACCATTTCATGTAGGAACTTTCTGTGAGGGAGCTTTTAGAGGTGGACGTCTGGTTCCTATCACCACCACTGTGAACAGTTCTGACTCTAAGTTTATCTAGAACGGAGCGTTTCACACCAAACCCCTCTGAACGACTCTGAACGACTCTGTTTGCACTCCTGTGTCGTCACTTGTCTTCTCTGCTGTTTTTCCGAGTCTCTCGCTGCTCTGGTGTTTTATCTGTGTTTATTCGCTGTAACGGTAGTTCTCTCTGTGCTGCAGGTGTGGAGGCCGCCGCTATGTGAGGAAGATGGGGTCATCATGGATTATTCCCAGAACAGCTCAGTCAGTCCAGGTAGGACTGAACTCACTCTGCACCTGTGAAGTGTTGGTGTACAGGTGTGCTTGGCTGCTGTTCTGACTGCAGCCAGGATCAACAGAGACTCTTATTAAATTAGTCCTTTAATAAACTGGGTTAGACTGAATCTTCGCAGAACCACAGTGTTCCTTTAAGCTGCTTTAGCACAAACAAGTGATTTGAAACGTTTCTGTTTACGGTTAGATTTACAGCTGGTTTCTCGGCTCAGTGTGGATCTGAGAAACTGTCTCGTTACTGAAGAGCGTTTCTTCCAGATTCAGAGTTCAGTCAGAGTCATGCAAACCTTTCATTTTGCTGCATCCATCGGACGTTTTTCTGTTTCTCACTGACTTTACTGTTTTCCTCTGTTCTGGTGCGTTCCTCTCGTTTTGCTATCATTTTTTCATGTTTGCCACGTCCCTCTGACATTTTTGTGTCTGTGTTCCTCTGATGTTTTTCTGTGTTCACTGCGTTCATCTGATGCTGAAGCCTCGGTCACGTTCCTCTGTTGTTCTGCTGTGTTTCTCTGACGTTTTTCTGCGTCTGCCACATTACTTTTTTGGCCATCTGGCACATTCCTGACATTTTTTTCCTGCGTCTGGCGCGTTCCTCTACTGCTGCTCTGCGTCTGTCATGTTCCTCTGACGTTCTGCTCTGTTCCTCTGACCTTTTGTCTGTGCTGTGTTCCTCTGTAGTGGACAGTTTTGAGCAGGAGGCTGTGCTGAACCACCTTCACAGCCTGCAGGTGGCGCCGTCTCTCGGGGAGCTGCTGCCTGGCCTCCTGCACAGAGAGATGGAGGCAGCCATGGATAGCCTGGGCCTCCTGTACGACCGGACCTACGCCTGGGACGTCTTCTCAGACATGATGGTAACTCAACAGCTGTTTGTCAGCCCAGAGCTGCTGCTGCAGTCGGCGTCCAGCTTTCAGACCCCCCTCTCTGAGGGAGGAGCGAGTGACATTTACAGAAACCGCTGTTCTCACTCTGTGGTAGACAGATGTTCCAAACCTGAAGATTTGTTCTAGAACGTTCCCCCAGAGTCTCACTGGAGTTATGAGGTCCTTAAGGAGCTGAAGTAAGAATCAGCTGGGCGTGGCCCACAGGGCTGACCTGGGTGACTGCAGGGGCACCTACATGTGTCTCCAAAAATTAAATTATTTTATTATTTTAATCTGTGAACATTTGATCAGGCCTAATCATCCAGACATGAACATCCATGTGGGTTAAACCTGGGCACGTTCTTATTTTGGCATTTTATACACTTTTAAAGATGGTTCTTTGACGATGGTACTTCAGTGGTTCTTCTATATAGAACCCTAAACACTCACTGTTTGCATGCTTAAATGGTTCCCTACGTGGTGAAACTGTTGTTCAGATTGAAAATATGATGCATGTGGTTCTACAGGGAGATTCACTTGAAAGAGGCCCCAAATATTCTGTTGTGACTCCCGTTAGGATGAAGCAATCTGAACCAAAAAAATCCGCCACATACCTTGACGTATATGTAATCGATTGCATTACATGCGATGCTGGAAGTGATATGTATAAAAGGAGCAGACACATTTCAACGCGGCACTCCATGTTCCTGAACACATCAGCAAGCATTAGAGAAGTTAAACGTCGCAATGGCTGTACAGCGCCTCCCTCATCGCTCCGACGCAGGGGCACCCAGCTTGTTTGAAGCTCCATATACTGAGGAGCTCATTGCAGGTTGTTTCGTTCAGATTGATTCGTCCTAGAGAGAGTTATTACAGAATAATTGGGGCCTCTTTCGAGTGAATCTATGTATATACAATCATATACAACACATTCTCCATCAGTCTGAAGAAAAATTTCACCATGCACTCTTAAAGATGGTTCTTCAAGGGTTCATTGATTAATGGTTCTGTTTAGTACCATGAACTCAGTCCTTTTCATGATTAAGTGGTTCTCTGCATGGTGAAATGGTTCTTCATATTGATGGAGAACGTGTTGTATATGGTTAACTATAGCACCAAAAAGTGTTCTGCTATTTTGAACAAGCTTTATCGTAACAGTAGAAGGATCCTTTTTGGTGCTGTATACTGTAGATCCATTTTCTTTGAAGAGGCCCATCTTTTTTTATAGACGTGTGGAGGTGCTTGACTGATGCTGTCTAATGCTGCGTTCAGTGCTCATCAGCAGGTTGAATGTACCAGATGGTTAACTAGTAAACATGACTTCACTCTGTTCGTAGATCCACCCACCACATGGAGAAGGACAGTGTGGAGATCAGAGAACACAGATCTAACAGAAGCACCTCAGGTTTATATTTCTTGCGTTCGCAGCAAGTTAAGGTTTTTCTATGCTTGTCAAAGGTTAAAGGTGGCATTCCCTCATATCATCTAGAATTTCAAGCTTGCCAATTGTAAATACGACTGTTAGCCATTCAAGTGCAATTTATAAGTGGGGAAAACTGGTGTTTCCCAGTTTCTGACACCAGTGCAGCATTAATCTAACACTGAAGCTAGAAATGTTTTTGTTTACTACAGGTTGCAACACAGGTCAAAAACAGTTTCACCCTGCAAAGAACCATTTAAGCTTGCAAGTAGTTCTTTGAGTGTTGATGTTTTATGTAGAATTTACATCTGTGTTCAACTTCAACAAGTAATCTAGAAATGCCCTGATGAAGTGTTTACCACAGACGTGAACGTATTGACTGGCTGGTTCGTCCACTCTTCTGATGACCTAGAATTTCCTATTTGCCGCCAGCACTCTGACCAGGTTTTTCACCCAAAAGGGGGCGTGGTCATTCAGACGACAGGGAAGTGACACATGCTTGCTCCCACCCGTGCAGTTAGCACCATGCTAATCAGTGCAGTATAAGCTTCCCTTACCTTTGTTACATTAGCGTCGTAGCTCTAGTGCTAAAAAGCAGACTTTAGACCAAACACGTCTCGGCTGATTGACCACATTTGGGATAAGATGGGGAAACTGTGGGGAATTTTTGGGACGGATGCTGCTTCACCTGCACAAATGATGTTTTATAAGCAGAGCATGAACAGTCCAAACTCTTGTGCACCTGTTTTGTTTCAGAGGAGTCAGCTGCGCTGCACGCTGCCGAGCGCCGAGCTGCCGCGGCCGTTCTCCGAGAACACTCGCGTGATCCTGGTGGACTGGCTCATTCAGGTTCATGTAGGCACTGCAGAGTCTCTCAACTCCACACCTGCTGATAATTCACTGCATGTCTAATATAGCTGTGCTAAACATGGTGGCTACTCTGAACATGGTGACCCCTTTTTGATGGGGTGAAATCTAATCTTGACTTGTTCACTGAATGTCTGGTCTAATTAATTCTGAAATCCCACTGGGTCACTGCAGTCCTGGGATTTATTAAATGAAATGTTGTTGTTGTTGTTTGTTGTTGTTGGCCATATGTTCTATGCACCTAGGCATATGTATTACAGGGTGATTCAAAAAGATTAATCCGATTTCAAAGCGCCATATTTTTCTACCGTGAGGCGTCGAGGAACCAATCACAATCCAATTGTAAGAGGGGGTCATAGAGTTTCTGACTGTCAGTGGAAGATGGCTCCTTCAGTCTGTGAGGAGATGAGACCCCTGAGCAGAAAGCGTTCTGCGTTCTCCACTTCAATAAGAGTGAATCCGTCATAACTGTGCAGTGTGATTTTTCGTGGGCAGTGAAGCTCCAACAGCTCAGAGCGTTCGGCGTTGGTTCCACAACACTGGATGATCTCCGAAATCGCACTGAAAGAGCCGTGAGTGCAGCGACACCCGACACGCTCAATCCAGTATGGGATGAGTTTGACTATGGTGTTGATGTTGTCTGTACAGCTGGAGGAGGTTCATACTGAGACCTTGTACAGTTACATAATAAACTTTATGCTCATTTAAACCATTTACAGTTCACTGCATTGATCTGTAATGATTTACAAGAGAAATCATTTTGAAATCGGGTAAGTCCTTTTGAATCACCCTCTAAAGCATGCAGGGAGAAAGCAGTACATTCGGTTTTGAGGGTCACTTTTTGCTTATTTACATAATTTGAAAGCTCCAGCTGACCTTTTTAATAAACCTCCATCCTCTTCTGTGAAAATAGCGTTTTTCACATGCAGATTTCTGGTTGTGACAGAGTTCCTCACCTTCAGATTAGCTCTGATATCCAACAGAGCTGATCTGCGGAGCTTGATTATTGTGTGTTTGTTGTGCAGGAGGTGTTCAACTTCTCAGAGGAGACGCTGTACCTGGCCATTCACCTGCTGAACCGAGCGCTCAGGTGTGTTAAAGTCTCTGTGTCCAGCCTGCAGCTGCTGGGCATCACCTGCCTCTTCATCGCCGCCAAGAAGGAGGAGTGTTTACTGCCAGAGGTAGAAGTTATACATTTGTCTCTAAAACAAAAAGTGGGTCTTTCTGAGCTGCGTTGGTGTGTGAGGGGGTCTGAGCTGCGTTGGTGTGTGAGGGGGTCTGAGCTGCGTTGGTGTGTGTGAGGGGGTCTGAGCTGCGTTGGTGTGTGTGAGGGGGTCTGAGCTGCGTTGGTGTGTGTGAGGGGGTCTGAGCTGCGTTGGTGCGTGAGGGGGTCTGAGCTGCGTTGGTGCATGCCTGTTTGAGCTGGGTTTATTGTGTGCCTGTTTGTAAGCTGTGTTGGTGTATGAGGGTCTCAACTGTGTCTCAGCTGTTTATTCCATGCAGGTTTCTGAGCTGCGTTGGTGCATAAGGGTGTCTGAAGCGTGCCGGTGTCTGAGCTGGGTTAATTGTGTGCAGGTTTCTGAGCTGTGTTGGTGCGTGAGGGTGTCTGAGCTGCGTTTGGTGCGGGAGGGTGTCTGGGCTGCTTTGCTGCATGAGGGTGTCTGAGCTGCGTTTGGTGCGTGAGGGTGTCTGGGCTGCTTTGCTGCGTGAGGGTGTCTGGGCTGCATTGGGGCGTGAGGGTGTCTGGGCTGTGTTGGGGTGCGTGAGGGTGTCTGGGCTGTGTTGGGGTGCGTGAGGGTGTCTGGGCTGCATTGGGGCGTGAGGGTGTCTGGGCTGTGTTGGGGTGCGTGAGGGTGTCTGGGCTGCATTGGGGCGTGAGGGTGTCTGGGCTGTGTTGGGGTGCGTGAGGGTGTCTGGGCTGCATTGGGGCGTGAGGGTGTCTGGGCTGTGTTTGGTGTTTGTGTGTGCAGGTGTCTGGGCTGTGCTGGGGCGCATGAGGGTGTCTGGGCTGTGTTGGGGCGCATGAGGGTGTCTGAGCTGCGTTGGGGCGTGAGGGTGTCTGGGCTGCGTTTGGTGTTTGTGTGTGCAGGTGTCTGAGCTGTGTGCAGATGTTTGTGTGTGCAGGTGTCTGAGCTGTGTGCAGATGTTTGTGTGTGCAGGTGTCTGAGCTGTGTGCAGATGTTTGTGTGTGCAGGTGTCTGAGCTGTGTGCAGATGTTTGTGTGTGCAGGTGTCTGAGCTGTGTTGGGGTGTGTGCAGGTGTCTGAGCTGTGTTGGGGTGTGTGCGGGTGTCTGAGCTATGTTGGGGTGCGTGAGGGTGTCTGAGCTGTGTTGGGGTGCGTGAGGGTGTCTGAGCTGTGTTTGGTGTTTGGGTGTGAGGGTGTCTGAGCTGTGTTTGGTGTTTGTGTGTGCGGGTGTCTGAGCTGTGTTGGGGTGTGAGGGTGTCTGAGCTGTGTTTGGTGTTTGTGTGTGCGGGTGTCTGAGCTGTGTTGGGGTGTGAGGGTGTGTGAGCTGTGTTTGGTGTTTGTGTGTGCGGGTGTCTGAGCTGTGTTGGGGTGTGAGGGTGTCTGAGCTGTGTTTGGTGTTTGTGTGTGCGGGTGTCTGAGCTGTGTTGGGGTGTGAGGGTGTCTGAGCTGTGTTTGGTGTTTGTGTGTGCGGGTGTCTGAGCTGTGTTGGGGTGTGAGGGTGTGTGAGCTGTGTTTGGTGTTTGTGTGTGAGGGTGTCTGAGCTGTGTTGGGGTGTGAGGGTGTGTGAGCTGTGTTTGTGTGTGCGGGTGTCTGAGCTGTGTTGGGGTGTGAGGGTGTGTGAGCTGTGTTTGGTGTTTGTGTGTGCGGGTGTCTGAGCTGTGTTGGGGTGTGAGGGTGTCTGAGCTGTGTGCAGGTGTTTGTGTGTGCGGGTGTCTGAGCTGTGTTGGGGTGTGAGGGTGTCTGAGCTGTGTGCAGGTGTTTGTGTGTGCGGGTGTCTGAGCTGTGTTGGGGTGTGAGGGTGTCTGAGCTGTGTGCAGGTGTTTGTGTGTGCGGGTGTCTGAGCTGTGTTGGGGTGTGAGGGTGTGTGAGCTGTGTGCAGGTGTTTGTGTGTGCGGGTGTCTGAGCTGTGTTGGGGTGTGAGGGTGTGTGAGCTGTGTTTGTGTGTGAGGGTGTCTGAGCTGTGTTGGGGTGTGAGGGTGTGTGAGCTGTGTTTGGTGTTTGTGTGTGCAGGTGTCTGAGCTGTGTTGGGGTGTGCAGGTGTCTGAGCTGTGTTGGGGTGTGTGCAGGTGTCTGAGCTGTGTTTGTGTGTGCAGGTGTCTGAGCTGTGTTGGGGGGTGTGAGGGTGTCTGAGCTGTGTTGGGGTGTGAGGGTGTCTGAGCTGTGTTGGGGGGTGTGAGGGTGTCTGAGCTGTGTTGGGGGGTGTGAGGGTGTCTGAGCTGTGTTTGGTGTTTGGGTGTGAGGGTGTCTGAGCTGTGTTTGGTGTTTGTGTGTGCGGGTGTCTGAGCTGTGTTGGGGTGTGAGGGTGTCTGAGCTGTGTTTGGTGTTTGTGTGTGCGGGTGTCTGAGCTGTGTTGGGGTGTGAGGGTGTGTGAGCTGTGTTTGGTGTTTGTGTGTGAGGGTGTCTGAGCTGTGTTGGGGTGTGAGGGTGTGTGAGCTGTGTTTGTGTGTGCGGGTGTCTGAGCTGTGTTGGGGTGTGAGGGTGTGTGAGCTGTGTTTGGTGTTTGTGTGTGCGGGTGTCTGAGCTGTGTTGGGGTGTGGGGTGTCTGAGCTGTGTTTGTGTTTGTGTGTGCGGGGTCTGAGCTGTGTTGGGGTGAGGGTGTCTGAGCTGTTGGTGTTTGTGTGTGCGGGTGTCTGAGCTGTGTTGGGGTGTGAGGGTGTGTGAGCTGTGTGCAGGTGTTTGTGTGTGCGGGTGTCTGAGCTGTGTTGGGGTGTGAGGGTGTGTGAGCTGTGTTTGTGTGTGAGGGTGTCTGAGCTGTGTTGGGGTGTGAGGGTGTGTGAGCTGTGTTTGGTGTTTGTGTGTGCAGGGTGTCTGAGCTGTGTTGGGGTGTGCAGGTGTCTGAGCTGTGTTGGGGTGTGCAGGTGTCTGAGCTGTGTTTGTGTGTGCAGGTGTCTGAGCTGTGTTGGGGGGTGTGAGGGTGTCTGAGCTGTGTTGGGGTGTGAGGGTGTCTGAGCTGTGTTGGGGGTGTGAGGGTGTCTGAGCTGTGTTGGGGGGTGTGAGGGTGTCTGAGCTGTGTTTGGTGTTTGGGTGTGAGGGTGTCTGAGCTGTGTTTGGTGTTTGTGTGTGCGGGTGTCTGAGCTGTGTTGGGGTGTGAGGGTGTGTGAGCTGTGTTTGGTGTTTGTGTGTGCGGGTGTCTGAGCTGTGTTGGGGTGTGAGGGTGTGTGAGCTGTGTTTGGTGTTTGTGTGTGAGGGTGTCTGAGCTGTGTTGGGGTGTGAGGGTGTGTGAGCTGTGTTTGTGTGTGAGGGTGTCTGAGCTGTGTTGGGGTGTGAGGGTGTGTGAGCTGTGTTTGGTGTTTGTGTGTGCGGGTGTCTGAGCTGTGTTGGGGTGTGTGAGCTGTGTTTGGTGTTTGTGTGTGCGGGTGTCTGAGCTGTGTTGGGGTGTGAGGGTGTGTGAGCTGTGTTTGGTGTTTGTGTGTGCGGGTGTCTGAGCTGTGTTGGGGTGTGAGGGTGTCTGAGCTGTGTGCAGGTGTTTGTGTGTGCGGGTGTCTGAGCTGTGTTGGGGTGTGAGGGTGTCTGAGCTGTGTGCAGGTGTTTGTGTGTGCGGGTGTCTGAGCTGTGGGGGTGAGGGTGTCTGAGCTGTGTGCAGGGTTTGTGTGCGGGTGTCTGAGCTGTGTTGGGGTGTGAGGGTGTGTGAGCTGGTGCGGGTTTTGTGTGCGTGTCTGAGCTGTGTTGGGGTGTGAGGGTGTGTGAGCTGTGTTTGTGTGTGAGGGTGTCTGAGCTGTGTTGGGGTGTGAGGGTGTGTGAGCTGTGTTTGGTGTTTGTGTGTGCAGGTGTCTGAGCTGTGTTGGGGTGTGCAGGTGTCTGAGCTGTGTTGGGGTGTGTGCAGGTGTCTGAGCTGTGTTTGTGTGTGCAGGTGTCTGAGCTGTGTTGGGGGGTGTGAGGGTGTCTGAGCTGTGTTGGGGGGTGTGAGGGTGTCTGAGCTGTGTTGGGGGGTGTGAGGGTGTCTGAGCTGTGTGCAGGTGTTTGTGTGCAGGTGTCTGAGCTGTGTTGGGGTGTGAGGGTGTCTGAGCTGTGTTGGGGGGTGTGAGGGTGTCTGAGCTGTGTTTGTGTGTGCAGGTGTCTGAGCTGTGTTATCTGATGGCGAATGCGTACAGTAAGAAGCAGTTCCTGCGGATGGAGCGTCGGGTCCTGGGTGGTCTTCAGTTTGAGCTGTTTCACTGCCCACCGATTCACTTCCTGCTGCTGTCCGCCTACATCGCACGCTGCAGCGACAAGGTACTGCTGCACTGATATTCAGTCATACGTGCCCAGTTTCCTCCCTTCCAGTAAATCTGTGAAGTCAGTCAAGACATTTGTGTGTGAGGGTGCTTGAGCTGTGTTGGTGCTTCATGTAGCTGTGAAGTTGCACAGAAATTAAGGTCTGCATCTCTAAACATGCAGCTAGTTGCGTGAAGGTATCAGCGTGTAAAGCCAGCCAGAAGGGTTCATTCTTATTAATCCCCATTAACTACCGCTAAGGTAGCAGCTGCTGTTTCTGGGGTCCACACAACATATAAAACAAGACACACATAAATAAGACTCAACACACGAGATATAAATAACACCATCGGATTGCGTTCCATTGTGTTTATTTAGTCAGTGTTAGGATTGTTAATGGTTGTTAATGGTTGTTAATGTGCTTTTTTTTGTAGTTTTATTGAATTTGCCTTGCTGAGTGTTTCATCAGTCATAATTAATGACTTGTTCTCCTACACCAGTTTTTGCAAATGCACAAAAACCTGATTATAAAAAGCCAGAAATTTGAAAAAACACCTGAATATCAGTTTTATGGTACGACGAGGAGGAAAGATAATCACTTAAGCTGAAATGCTAAAAAAGTGACGGAAAAGGGTTTGTTGAATAAACGATGGCGTATCGAGCCGTAAGTTGCGTGATTCCCTGATTCAGGCGGCGCGTTTGTGGCGCGGAGCTTTTCAAAGGGTGTTCTTGACGTTCTAACATGCTGAATTCCAAGCCGGTTTTAAAAATATCTCTGCACAGTGAGCTCCAGAGCTGTCTGGTGTGTTTAGTTCCCAAATGTGAGGTGGACGTCACCAGGGGGGCACAGAGATTTCAGCCCCCGTTAGGTGGCCACTGCTCGTCCTGCCCAGCGTCTCTGATCTGCAAACAATCATTAAAAAGTCAGCAAACAGCTCTTAAGATGGTTCTTTTAAAGCATAAAGGTTTAAATCTCATCCTGCTCGTTTCAGTACTCCTAACCGTGGCAGCCTGCGGCGGCTGAAGATTCTCCACATAACTGTAGTGGGTGGAAATGAGACTTAATTAGCCTTTGGCCTCATATATTATATTACATGCAGCAGTTTACAGCTGTAATGTGTGTGTGTGTGTGTGTGCGCGCGCATTGTGTGTGTGTGTGTGGTTATTGTGGTTCCTGTGTCTGTGCAGGTGGTGTGTATGGCGCGGTATCTGCTGGAGCTCTCTCTGTTGGAGGGTCAGTGTGTGGTGTATTTGCCTGCACAGCTGGCCGGCGCTGCGCTCCGCCTCGCCCGCAGGCTGCTGCAGGACACGCCCACACCTGAGGCGGAGACGGCCTGGTGCGTCGCCTCCACCATCCACGTAGGCAGGTCAGTCATAAAGAGCAGACGCAGGAGGAGTCATGACGCTGTTCTCTAGTCAGCGTGAACATTTTTGAAAATCACTTCTGTTCAGCCTACACTCTTAAAGATGGTTCTTCAAGGGTTCTTTAGTAAAGACAGTAGTTCTAAATAGAACCATGAACACTCAAGAGAACTATCTGCATGTTTAAATGGTTCTTGGCGTCATGAAAAGATGCTTCAGGTTGATGGAGGTTGTGTTGTATAAGGTTCTGTATAGCACCAAAAAGGGTTCTGCTATGGTTACAAGCTTGACCTTGCAACAGCAGAACCCTTTTCAAAAAGTTGCCATATAGAACCATATACAATACAATGTCAGTTAGTCTAAAGAAGCTGCATGCAAATGGTTCTTTGGATGTTCATGGTTCTATATTGGACCATTGTCTAGACTTGTGTAGGTTCACTGGTGGTTCTGGATAGTAAATAAAATGTCTATATCTGTGTTGTAGTCATGGCGACCTCTGGTTCCTATCACCACCACTGTAAAGACATCTGAACCATTTCACACCAAACCACTCTGAATCTCTCTGATTACATCTAACACACTGAGTTATGGGGAAATTTTGGGAAAATTGGTGGAATTCTCCTTTAACTCTCCCTCGCCCACATAACCCACCACTCAGATGTGTCACTCCTGTGTTAAACAAGCATCCAGTCCGTGGAGAAGTGGAGGAGGAGGAGCCAGAGAGCAGCGGATTATTCAAACAGATCGCTCGCCCTCAGCAGGTTAGCCTCAGTGAGCTGACTGGCTAACCATGCAGACTTTTCAAAGCTAAATGTTTGCGTCGTTTATGCTGGCTGTGATCTTTGCGCCCTCAGACAGCACTGCATTAAAAACAGACATGACACTGCATCCACAAATGACAGTTAAAACTCTAAAACGCAAAGAAGAAACCAAATAAACAGGATCCAGAAACGCTGCCACCTTCTCTGGGCCCAGGCTCACTTAAAATGGACTGAGGGGAAGTGGAAAAGTGTTCTGTGGTCCAATGAATCAACATTTGAAATTCCTTTTGGAAATCATGGACACTGTGTCCTCCGGACTAAAGACCACTCAGCTTGTTATCAGTACACAGTTCTAAAGCCAGTATTCATGATGGTCTAGGGGGGCATTAGTGCACATGGCATAGGTATCGTGCACATCTGTGAGGGCGCCATTAATGCTGAATGATATATACGTTTTAGCAACATAAACTGCCATCCAGACGACGTCTTTTTCAGGGAAGGTCTTGATTATTTCAGCAAGACAATATCAACCCACATTCTGCATGTATTACAACAGCATTGCTCCATATTAAGGGTCCAGGTGCTAAACTGACCTGCCTGCAGTCCAGACCTGTCACCACTGAAATGATTTGGTGCATTATGAACTGAAAAATACAACTGATGAGCAGCTGAAATTCTGTATCAAACATGAACAGGAAAACATTTCACTTTCTAAACTACAGCAGTGTCTCCTCAGTTCCCAACCGCTTACAGAGTGCTGTTAAAGAAGAGGTGATGAAACGGTGGTAAACAGGCCCCCGTCCCAACTTTTTTGGAACGTGTTGTTGGCATCAAATTCAAAATGGGCGCACATTTAAAAAAAAATAAAAAATTAAAAAAAATTCTATCCAGAACCACCAGTGAACCTACACGAGTCTTCTGAGTTTATATGGAATGTTGATGATGGAAAATAGTGGAAAATCTGAAATAATAAGTTTTCTTTGGGACTATTTTGCCTCACAGCGCCCTGCATGTATCCCTCCACCATGAATGGAGTTTAAGTTCTCTAAACTATCATAAAACAGTGTCTCAGTCATCAGGCAGTGAATTCATAACCATTTCATGTAGGAACTTTCTGTGAGGGAGCTTTTAGAGGTGGACGTCTGGTTCCTATCAGCACCACTGTGAACAGTTCTGACTCTGTTTCCCGAGAACAGAGCGTTTCACACTTTCACTGACAGTTTACATTTTAACCTTTTAATTATGGGGTTATTTTGAAAAATTGATGGATTTCCTCCTTAATGTGGCAGCTGCAAGAAAATACTCGTGACTGAAGCAGACGAATAGTGATGTTGGTTGTTTGTTTGTTTGTGTGTGTTTGGTGCAGTGAGGCGACTCTGTGCGGTATAATGCAGATCATGGCCGCGGCTGCAGCTCGAGCGTCCAGCCGGGAAACTCGCGCCACCTTCGTAAAGTACTCCACCGCAGAAACGCTGCAGGTCAGCCTGCACCCCGCGCTGAGCAGCGCCCCCTGCCTGCTGGGCCTGCCGACCTGACCTGCGCCTGCCTGAGGGGCCTGGGGTCCAGCCTGAGGAGGAGGAGGACAGTAACCATGGTAACGTCTGAAGCAACTCCGGACTGATGCGCTGCTTTAGATGATCCTGGTGAAGGTGGAGGAGAGTCGGCTCCTGTGTGCGGTTTTAAAGGCTCAGGTGTGTTCGGTGAAGAGAGGAACTGTGGGGCTCGTTTGGACTCACTGCACTTCAGAATCGAGCGGGTTTGTTTGGGTCGGTTTGTCTTTTTCTAAGTGTTTTATATGTGAAAAAATAATAAATCTAATTCTTAATTGTGATCATTTCATCTCTTATTTTAACGATCCGTTCATTTCAAATCTTTCTCTCCTCCTCTTTTTTTTTGCTTCTCATTCTTTCCCTTCCACCGTTTATTCTTTCCCCTCTTTCTTCCTCTCTCTCTCTCTCCTCTCTTTCCCTTCTCTTACTCAATATTCCCTCTCTTTCTCTCTTGCTCATTCTTTCCCTTCTCTCTTTCAATTCTTTCCCTTTCTCCCTTTCCCATCTCTCTTTCTTCCCCCTCTATCTTTCAACTTCTCTCTTCCTCCTGTCTCTTTTCCATATCTCTCTCTCTCTCTCATCCGTTCTTCCCCCTCATTCTTTCCCTTCTGTCTGTTTCTCACATTCTTTCCCTTCTCTCATTCCCTTTTCTTTGCTCTAACCCCCTCTCTCGCTCATTCTTTCCCTCTTTTCTTCCCATCTATGCCTATTTCCTCTCTCAATATTCCCTCTCTTTTTTCTCTATTGCTCATTCTTCCCCCTTTTGCTCGTTCTTTCCTTTCTCTCTCATTCCCTTTTCCTCTTTGCTCTCTCTCCCAATCTTTCCCTTTTCTCCTTTTCCCTTCTCTCAATCCCCCATCTTTCCCTTTCCTCTCTTTCCTCTTCCTCTCTCTATCTTTTGATTTTCCTCTGCTCTTCTCTCTCCCATTCTTCCCCGTTCTCTCTCTTTCTCTCTCCCTCTTTCATTCTTCCTCTCTCTCCTCCACGCTGACCGCAAGTCACGTGACCGTCGGCGTGTGCCGACGCTCCGCCCACGCGGGCCGCGCTCACGTGGCCCCGCGCGCTTGCGATCGCAATTGGTCGCGCCGCGCGGCGCGTCACCGTGCGCGGATGGGGGAGCGCGTGAGCGGAAACGGAGCGCGTGCAGCTCCGCGAGAGGCGGCTGGGGGTGGCAAAGAGTCTGGGGGCGTGTTTGACTTTGTCCCTTTTATGTTTTCCTATACTTTAATAACTCATCCTCTCGCGTCTCTGCCTGTCTGCCTGTCTCAGTCTATTGGGCCACCGTTTGACGCTCGCGCGCTGGAATCCTGTTACACAAACCGGGACAGAGGCAGCTTCGGCAGCGCGCGCCCGCCCCGCCCCTACACGTGCTGCTCTCCTGATTGGCCCAGCGGGGAGCGGTGTTGCGTCACTCGTGTTCAGGGCGGGGTCGGTCGCCGCTGTTGGCCCCGCTGCGTCATCTCTCCGCCCCTGTGCGTGGAGTGGGCGGGGCCTCGCTCAGGTGGAGTGAACGGACGGAGTGAGAGATTTGAAAACAGCAGAGCAGGAAAATGGACTCAGCAGAGCAGGTTGTAGTCAGAGAGAGGGGCAGATAGGGGGGTGGGGGGCAGTTGGAGGGGGCAGAAGGTCCCAGAGTGGAGCTGCTGGTGGAGAAGGAGGAGAAGGTAAGGGATGGGGGGCTTTTCTGTTCCTACTCTAAAGCTAAACTAAGGTTAAACTGCTGAAATCGAGCTTTTTACTGGAACTGTCCGTTCCACCTTAAATGGCCCAGCAGTTGCAACGGACAATTCCATTAAGAAGCTGAATTTCAGCCTCATCCAGCGAGCTTGTTTATCTGTTTGTAGCGTTAGCTTCAGTGCTAAAGGCAGTTATCTGTTATTCTGACTGTGAGCTGAGTGTCGCCGCTCCGTGCCAAGTTATAGTATTACATAATACAGCAGGGGGAAGGGAACAGAGCGCGCATGCACGCGCACTCTGGGATAAAGTAAGCAAATAATCAGCTGTAATTATAGATGGGAAGGTTTAAGACTGATAAATAGTGACAGGAATAACAGAAGATGATTATGGTGATTCATACAGGTGCCCTGTAAGGTCACTTCAGTTCTCAGTGCTGTTGCTGGAGTGTTTAAAGGGCCCATATCATGAAAAACCACTTTTTTTTTGAGCTCGAGGTCCATTTTATCAGCTCCACTTACTATATAGGAGCCCTTTATAGTTCTACAGTTACAGACTGTAGTCCATCTGTTTCTCTGATACTTTGTTAGCCCCCATTTTACCCTGTTCTTCAGTGGTCAGGACCCCCATGGACCCTCACAGAGCAGATACTATTTGGGTGGTGGGTCATTCTCAGCACTGCAGTAACACTGACGTGGAGGTGGTGTGTTAGTGTGTGTTGCGCTGGTCTGAGTGGATCAGACACAGCGGTGCTGCTGGAGTTTCTAAACACTGTGTCCACTCTATTAGACACTCCTACCTTGTCAGTCCACCTTGTAGATGTAAAGTCAGAGACGATAGCTCATCTGCTGCTGCACAGTTTGTGTTGGTCATCCTCTAGTCCTTCATCAGTGGCTGGATACACTATATGACCAAAAGTGTGTGGACGCCTGCTCGTCCAAAGCTGCTAAAATCAAGAAAATGGACACTTTTCGCAAGAAATGGAAGTGTAAATGCTGAGTAAAACAGGTTCTGCTAGTTACTAACCTCGTATTGTATCACTTCAGCACCACAGAAAGGCGTATCACTATCTTCATCATAGTTGCCAAGATTATAATCCGAGGATGAGTCCAGAACTGTTGGAGAACCAGACACCCAACAATGTGGGAGTCCAGACTAAATAAAGGGTTTAAAAGCTTTGTGGAAAAACTCCTTCACAGCTATCAGATCACAGTAACGTCAGCTAACGGCTACAGAGGGATAAATCAATGGAGGTGAAAAAAACTATAGCCAAAATGCTGGATTAGCCGTGTTAGCTGGAGATGTTGAAAAAGCTCACTAACAAAGTAGTTGGCAAAAAGCTAAATGGGCACACAGGCCAGCAGGGGGCGTGCTGGGTTGACAGGGTCTGTAAAGCTACTGTAAATGTTATATACAAACACCGAACAAACATTCCCTCCCCGCTGAGCTCTCGCTCTCTGATACCGACTGCTTTAGAGGACAAAATGAAAACTGTTCCTCTGAAAGCGGCTGAAGCAGCAACTTTAAACCACAAACTGTACGTTAACGTCAGTCAGCAGCGCTGAAATGCAGACACAGAGGATCTTTTACTGTGTATGACAGTTTATTCCTTTATTAATTACACAAACTTGTTTCTCCTCTGATCATCGTCAGCTGACAAACCGCTGAAACTGAGATGAGGCTGTTGAGCTGTACACGCTCAACTTCTATTCGCCATCGTTGTTATTGCTTTAGCGTAAGCAGCGTCACCTGCAGCGAGCATATCCAGCAGAAAAAGTGCAGAAATATGAAAAGGGCCCATTAAAAAGGAGTTTGTCCACCCCTTTGCTGTGCTGCAGTAACAGAATCTACTTTTCTGGGAAGGCTTTACACTAGATCTGGGAACATTGCCGTGATGGTCTGATTGCATTCAGCCACAAGAGGATTAGTGAGGTACTGATGTTGGATGGTCAGTTCTGGGTCACTCCAACTCATCCCAAAGGTATTGGAAGGAGCTCCATCACTCAACAAACAGTTCCCCTCCTCCACAGCCCAATGCTGGGGGGGCTTTATACCCCTCTAGCTGACACTTAGCACTGGACATGGAGACCTTAGGCTCATGTGCAGCTGTTCCAGAGCATCCTGTTGTATTGGTCAGTGTTTTTCTATGGAGATTGTACAAGCTGTGCATGTATTTCAGCTCCTTTGTCGGCAGTGAGTTGACGTTAACGTAGCTGAATTCACTAATAAGAAGTGTCCACAAACTTTTGGACAGTGTATTTTTGGTTGGTGGATTCAGTCCAGCAGTGGCACCGAGCTGTAACGATGTGGATGGTCACTTTCTTCATTGGCCTGGAGAACACAACGTCCATTACTTCCATAAACAATATGATGCGCTGTAGAAGACGAGACTCCTAAAAATGCCGTGATTGCTCATTGAGGAACGTTATTTTGAAGCTGCTGGATTTTTGCTGATGTATTTTTTGGTGGCCTCGTCCCATTCTCACTCACAGGACTGTGCCTTCCTGGATGTTCTTTTAATATCCAAGCATGATTGCATCACCTGTTTAAGATGATATTTTGGACGTTTCTCAATGTTTCTAGTCTTAAATTCCTTCTGTGCCATCAGTTTCAGAAAAAGTGTATAATTTTGGAAAAAACGAATTTTGTAAGATACAAAATTAAATATTGTGTCTGTTCTGTTTTTGTTTAAATACAGGTCAAAGTAGATTTATAAGTCACTGCTTTGTTTTTGAGTCTCACATACTGTCCTAACCTAATGGAATTGAGTTTGTATTGAGAGGTGCACTATTCAAATATTTTACTATTGCCTCTCAAGATACTCAAACACTGGGCAAATCCTCTTGTACGCAAAGTTGCCGTTGTCTGTCTGGAAGTTCTTTGTTGTGCTGTGATGCTTTTTGCCCCATAGGTCATAGATTTTGGGTTATAGGTTATAGATTAGCCCTGGATCTGTCCAGCTGTCCTGTGTGCCCTCAGTGCCCAGAATGCCGCTGGACTCGGGCTGTGTGGGAGAGCGCCCTGCCCGCCCCGCCAGCAAAAACGCCAAGGACAAAAGCAACAGCGCCGCTCTGCTGGCCTCCAGATCACGAGCACATACGCAGCAGGAGGTGGACGGCCGGGACTCGCGCTGCAGCTCCGAGAAGGACTCCGGATACTCAGGTCAAGACCATATACACACACATCCTCTAAACCGCTTATCCTATATATATTAGAGCTGGGCGATATGGCCAAAAACGTTATCACGATAAACAAAATTCATATCATTCGATATCGATACATATCGCGATAAATGTCAAATCATGATTTCTTTCACGTTTGAAGGCTGATTTTGCTGCTGGGGGGTTAACTGTGGTTTTAAACTATCACTTATTATCCGATCATAACAAACACTCGGCAAACAGTGGAACATTTCACTAATCTGTCTTGGGACAGTGGGAGAAAGTTTCTGAGCTGTTTTTATCAGCTGGAAAAGCACAGCTGCAATTTTTGTAATAGTCATGATTTAAGAAAGAAAACAGAAAACAGATTATTTTAGCTGTCTGGTGACGAGCGCTCGGCTACCCCGCTACAAACGCTAAACAAGTGGCCAACAACAGGGCTAAACTCTTTAGTTTCTCAACAACGTCAGCTCGGTTCGGTAGGTCACTGCTGTCACTCCTACCACATCCATGTCAGAGCAGATCACAGTATTCAGACACCAGCTAGACGACTGGGTTTCTCTATGCTATCGCAGTAGTTCAAGGGGTGAACCGCAGTATATCTGACGCTCGCTGTGTAAAAGCATTATCTGCAGTGTGAATCTCTCACTCCAGTCACAGAGTCCTCCTTTTAGGCATGTTTAAACTGAAAGCGGTGATTTTGTGTCGTGTTTGATCTACAGTATCATCAGTTCACCGTGTTTTGCCGGAGCGCTGCTTCAAGTTAGCCAGCAGCTAAAAACAGCTAGCCTGGAAAGACAGCGCTCTCCCGCTCTCCAACGCCTCACAGCTTCCTATATATATCCCTATATACGCACAGTGATTTTAGATGTTTTTCAAATTGACTGTTCATAAACTGTATGAAATCAATTAATTTTATGATTGTAAGGTTATAATTGCTGCGTATGCTTAATTGAATAACTCAATTAAGGTGTGAAATACAGGGGGGCCTGGGGGGTCTGGGACTTCTGATTAACCTCTTGGACCCCCTGAATGTCTCAAAGTTCTAGGGGTTCCAGAAAATAAACATTATGCTGTCTGTTAGGGGAAAGATAGATGCTCAAAATCAGTGAAGCTGATTGTTTATCTGCTTCTCCCACAATCAGCTTCTGTCTCTGGTGTTCTTAACTATCTAGAGCTGCAGCACTGCTCTGCCTCAGGGTGGCGCTGTAGCAGACTGGTTCACCCAGTTGGTCCTTCATAGTCTAGAAACTGTAACTCTGCCCGGATTCATCTGAAAACTCACCCAGTTTCCTCATTTCTCACACTGAAGACAGAAGAGGAGATGAGGAAGATCTCAGTTACTGTGAGGAAGAGCGCAGAACCGCACTAGAACAGAGACTCTACAGAAGAGGAGACGAGGAAGATCTCAGTTAATGTGAGGAAGAGCGCAGAACCGCACTAGAACAGAGACTCTACAGAAGAGGAGACGAGGAAGATCTCAGTTAATGTGAGGAAGAGCGCAGAACCGCACTAGAACAGAGACTCTACAGAAGAACAGCTGATAAAACAGACATTTTAGTGCCGTTGAAGCATCAGCGCCGCTATAGTGAGAGAGAGTTAGCAGACAGAGAACGGAGTTGTGCTTTCTGCTTGTCCATTTTCACAGTCATAGTTCCTTTCCTTGTTTTTTTTATCTCTCTATCAGATACTGGTTCTGACTCGCTCCAGACAGATGCGGAGGATCAGAGGAGCGTTTCTGAGCCGAAGCTCCACAAGGCCCCGGGGGTCCAGAGTGTTTCTGATCAGGGAAAGCACATCCTGGTGTCCACACCTCCGGAGCTCACGCCCATCTTCATCATCAAAAACGTTGTTTTAAAACAGGTGAGGAAGACGAGTTGGGGACGGACAGAGGTGGAGGTACAGATGGCGAGAGCAGGGCTCCACACAAAGTCTCGCTTTTTTGGTTTTCCATGCAGATCTGATACCTGGTACTGTTTTTGGTATCACCTCCATTGAGGTTCCAAGTAAGCTGAGCCAAAAACAAAAGGTGATGTAAAAACACTGTAGACTGCTGATTGGTCAGAGAGAATCCCTAAACACACATGCTAACGTTAGCTACCAGGTTAGCGCGGCCGCTTGCGTCTCCTTTGAGCACCAGAATCGTCTCATCTGAAGTTTTTTTTCCCAAACTCTCCTGTTTTGTTCAGTCTTTTGTCTCTTCTGAACACAATTTCTCTTTCACATCTCGGCAGCTTCAAGTGGCGTCGCTATACGACTGCTTGCACTGAGGGGGCGCTATATCTGCAGTGAAAAACAAAGTAGCTGGTACCAAAAGTGAGTGCAGTTGAGTCGAGTTGAGCCGTACTGTGCTGTGGAAAAGCGCCATAAAACAGCCGTAACACTCAGAGTTTACTTCAACCAAAGGATGAGGTTAGAGGTCTGTAAAGGGAGGTTACCACTCTGAAAATACATAATTAAGACTTTATTGCCCCATTGAGTTTGATTTTGATGAATATTTTACCTTGAACATATATAGAATGTTCACAAAGCAGATTCCCACAAGTTTCAACTATATGCAATTTCATAGCATTTGGGTAATATAAATGAAAGTCCATCTGCAGTCAGCTTTTAGCAGGTATAATGAAACTGACCAGTTCCCAGAATGTCCATTTTATAATCCATTTTTTGTCTTGAAAACTCAGTAATATAAAATGACTGACTGAGGGAAAATATAAGCATCAAAAAAAGAAACAAACAGGTATTAATAAGTCAGTGTAAGAGCTCTTTTACACAGGAAAATAAAGCTCCTTATTTATGATCAACACACAAAACTACAGGTACATGACATTAATTCAACAACGGTTTAAGGAACAAGTTTAAGGAGCACAAACATCTCAACTCAAATTTTCAAAAGCTGCAAACGTCACAAAAGGGACCCAAAAATGTTCAGAGGTGTCCATCTCTGTCAGAACTCAGCCTGATTGGTTCAAGAGCCGTTTATGACCCGAAAGGCCGAACAGCCGGTCCTGGAGGAGGTTAGGTGCCCATCATTCATTTCCCAGTTAAAAACTGATTGTAAGGTGAGAAACTAAAACTGAGTCCTGCTTTGAGAGACGGAGCTCTGGCGCTGTGAGACTGAGTTAATCCAGTTCAACCTGTGCTGTACAAGAATGAATTCTGTCTCTCTTTTCTTCTTCCCCATCTCTAAAGCCAGTGCAGTCGGGTCAAGAGCATGTTCTCCAGTCTCCTTTGGGCTGGGGGTCCGGAGGGGCTAACCCTCAGACCCCCACGCACCTTCTCCTGCTGCAGCAGCCCGGCCTCAGCACCCCACCACTGCACCTGCTCAAACCGCAGAGCCAAAGATCGAAGAGCAAAAACACCTACCTCCCCATCCTCAACTCCTACCCCCGCATCGCCCCGCACCCCAGCAAGAAGACCCCCGACAAGCCTCCAGCCAGCTTGGGGGGCAGTGCAGACGAGCACAGCCTGAGTAAGAGGGTCTGCACAGAGGCGAAACGAGAGGAGGTGTCCACGTCTACGCAAGCGCCCGAAAAGCATCCGCGAAAGCAGCCTGAAAGCCGTCCCCAGCCCCGCCCCCTCCGCACTCCTGACACACTTCTGGTCCCCCACCATCGGAGGAGCCCTCGCCCCCCCTGCAGCCCTTCCCCCCTTAGCCTGAGCTCTCCTTCTGTCTCCAGCTCGGAGACGCCCTCCCCGCCTTCGGCATGCGAGTCTGCCGCGCCGTCCAGCAGGGGACTCCAAAAGCACGCCTCGGGCACTGACTCTGACTCCGCTTCAGCAGGGGGCGCTCTGCCCGCTTCAGCGAAGCACCGTCGCTTCCTCAACACGGTGGAGATCCTTAGCCAGTCGGGGCTGCTGGACATCACCCTGCGGACGCAGGAGCTGCTGAGGCAGAGTGCCGCCACCGAGCGGGATATTGCTCAGCTGCGCCAGCATGCGCAGCTGCTGTGCCACGCCGCCCAGGCCGGTGCCCGCACACCTGCCGCCTGGATGCAGCTCCATCAGGCCATGGCTGAGTCTGGCTGCTACCCCAGCCTCAAGGGCCTGGTGCTGGAGACCGCCGAGGATGGGCAGCTGGAGGCGGATATCAGTGGCGTGGAGCCCTATGCCCCTGCCGCCTGCGGGTACGGGATTAACGGGGGCGAGGAAATGGCCCCCCCGTCCCCCCTCCTTGCCCCCACGCACTCGCCATCTGAAGCTCAGGGCTCTCACAGTGCGAGTGCCACCACTCCAGGGCACAGCAGAGGGCCCAGAAGTGGCAGCACCAGCCTGCCTGAGGAGATCCTGATGCCTCCAGATAGCTCTACTCCTGGAGGACTGCTGTAGCAGACCATAGTGTTAAAGCGATAGTTCAGCAAAAAAGTCCCAAATGTAGTTGATCAGCCGAGACATGTTTGGTGTCTGAGGTTTTTCTTCTTTAGTTTTGGCAGTGAAGCTATAAGGCATGGAGTGGAAGCCCCACCAATTAGCGTGGTGCTAACTAGCACCATAAACGCCACGAAAGCGACCCAAAAAGAACAAGAGGTCCACTTCCATCAGAAGCTCATCCGGATTGTTCCATGAGTTGTTTATGATCCCAAACCCGCAGCCCTCAAGGAGGTTCAGCGTGCAGCACAAGTTGCCAAAGCAGATGCCAAACCAGAATCTCAGCGCTAAAACCAAAGAAGCGAACTTGGACACCAAACACCTCTGCTGATCTGGGTAGAGCGAGGGGGCCGAGGGGGTTTGACGAGACGCCTAACTGAACTATCGCATTAACTGCTTGGCCTTCACGGTGGAAGAGCTGTGTGGGCCGTGTTTGCAGTTGGATATTGATCTTCTCTAAAGGGGAATAATTGTGAATTAGGGTTTAATGATCTTTGTGTATAAGTGAGTATGTATGTGTGCGTTTGATGCTCCGGACGGATTCGACTACAATAAAAAGCCAAACTCTTTCCCATCACTTTTCTTGGATTGTAGAGCTGTAGCTGACTGCAGTAGGAAAGCTCTTGATGTTGGCATTAGGCCTCAACTGATAAGTTGCCCGACGATATTGGTGGTTTGATCAGTATTGATAAATGGTATTTTTATTTATTTATGTATTTTTAAACCTGCGATCTCCTGATAACCTGGCAAATCCCTTCAACAGCTGGGGCGCTCAGGTATACCTTGTTCAGACTGTCAGCCCAAATCTGATTTGTCATATCCAGATTGATTTGATAGTCTGAACAGCAAAAAAACACAATCTGACTTTTGCAAATCAGATCTAAATCACATTTGTAGGTGTCAGTCTGGACGCTCAAATCAGATTTCAGTGTCTTTCGTCACTTGCAACACGACAAACGGTGACGATGTCAGATCCTGAGCGATGAAGTGCTGGAATTCAAGAAGAGCTCCAAAGATTCATGATGAGAGTTCTGAAGAGTTTGGAGAGGAGATGATGCTCCTCCATCTCTTCTGCATCTACATTTGAAATCCACATCACCAGCATAGCTACGTAGGAAAGCCTACGTCGTTACCACAACAACCCATGCAGATTGTCCAGACATCCAGTCTAACAAATCTGATCTGACCACTCGCAGATAACAGAGCGGACAGTTGCCTCAAAAGATCTTATTCGCCTGCAGTCTGAACAAAGCCTAGAAGCCCCCTGTTTAACTACACCACAGTAATACGGACCCTGTTTACACTTGGTGCATTTTGAGTATCAGGATTAGATCTGGATTAATGTTATCCACATTAAAAATGCAGGTGTAAATGCACCCATTTAAAGCGGATTTAAATCTGATCACTTAAATCACTTCAGGAGATGCATTTTATCCAGAAGTAATACTAATGTAAATGTCTCGTCTCTCAAACAACCAAAACCCCTCCCAATGCTGCAGCAACTCCCCCTTGCTGTTTGCATATGGCTTAGACTCCACCCACTAGACTGCCATTGCCAAGGGCATTGCTGATGTTTAATTCAGGACTCTCTATTGGCCTGAGCTCGTTAAAATAACGCTCCAGTTTGGTTGATCTTTGTCATCGTTATTCACCTTCACTAAAATATCTTGTTTTACTGCAGGTGGTAAACGGCGTCATGTTGTAAATGAATGTGTGCTTGATTTTCGATGAGCCAGACATCTTTGGAATTAGAATAGATGTGAATAACACAGCTGATATATTTCTCATATTTTTGCAGACAGCAGTCAGATCTCAAGCAGACACAACTGGAGATGTGTTTGAATAGCAAGTGTAAAATCATGTGGTTTAAATTTGATCTGGTTTACAGTCCAGATACATGAAACGAGCAGGTGTGTAAATGGGGCAACAGACTGAACACAAAACACCGTCATGATTATAATAACATACACATGTAAACATCACCCAAACCGCTTTAGCGTCAGAATAGCACGTTATAATGTAAAATAATTTTATGAAGAGATGAAAAATGAATGAGTGAGATTTATATTATGTTCATTATGTTGCTATTACATAACTATGTTTAGTAAGTTAAATGTTTATTATATTAGTGTAATATTTAACACTAAGACTCATCAGCCAGTGTTATCAGAAATTTCATCCCCATAAAACTAAACATTTTTAAAAATATAAATTATTGGCCACAATTTTTGGCTGAGTTTTGGGCCGGGTTTTGGGCCGCTGTCGTGACTTTTTCTAAAGAATGTAAACACTGTATGAGGCTCTGAAGTTAGTCCTCTGTTTCGGTTCTGGTTTTAATGCCCTCTCGGACCTCACCTTACACTCAATTGCGTATCATGCCTACGTTAATGTGTCCGCTCAGCGGGAGGAGGGATGGGAGTTTCTATACTTCTGTGAGAAAAGAAAGTAATCGGTGCGCCCCCTGCTGGTTACTTTCAAATTATACACACAGATTTTTCTTCAAGGGTTTTTTAACCCTTTTTTGCAGACGGTTATCTTCATGGTGAAATGGTTCTTCAGATTGTTGGAGAATGTGCTGTTTATGGTTCTCTATATCAAGGGTTCTTCTATTGTTACAAGCTTGACGTCATAACTGAAGAACCTTTTTCTGTGCTATAAAGAACCATATACAACACATTCTCCAACAATCTGAAGAACCATTTCACCATGCAAAGAACCCCTTAAGCATGCAAATGGTTCATGGTTCAATATAGATCAACTGTCTGTACTAAAGTGATTCCATAAAGATAAACGACTCAGACCTGGAGTTCCTTATGTGGCCAACTACAGAACGTCACAATTTCTTTATAGCATCAAATGATTCTATATAGAACTCAAGGTTCTACATGGTCATTCCTTTTAATAAAGAACCCTTGCCAAAGAACCATCTTTCTTTTAAGATTGTAGCTTAGCAATGAATTGGACAGCAATGCCCCAAAATACACTGCACATCTGGAACCTTCATCAGTCTGAAGTGTTCTGTCACTTGACATGAAAGGCCGTCTGACCAATCGCAGTCTGTTGTTTTAGTGTGACATATAGTAGCTGTAGACTTTTTTTAATGGTGTTACAACAAAAACACACCAGCGAGAAACCAAATATGTGCTGGAAATACATGTGAAGATCTCTAATTTACTGGCCATTAAATTCTTCAAAGAAAAATTGAAAGTTTTCCTTGAAATTTTTAAATCTTTCAATCAACCAGAGATGAAGGGTGTTTTAAGTTGGGGGAGGTGCAGTTTTAAGCAGTATATACATGATGTGAAAGGTGACGTCGTGCAAAACGACTTGCCTTTTTGTTCGTTTGAACTTTTTTGATAGTTTACGTCAGAGCGTGTCATAAGGTGGTGAGACGACATTATACCCTCATAGCTGACCCATTAAACCGCTGACGCTCACCCTGATTCCTCTGCTCTCTCCTTCTGGACAAACCTTTAAGCAAATGAGTTGTGTGATGTCCAATCAGATTGCAGATGTGCCGTGTGTTATGCTCACTATCACACACTCGAACCCACATCAGTGGGAGATATAACAGTTAATAAAAGTTAAGAACAGTTAATAAAAAATGCAAATGACCCTTTTTTTTTCTTTTTAGTTTAAAAAAAAAAACAATATTAGGTGCTTTCGTCTCCCAAAGCGGCCAGCAGGGGGGGTGAGAGAAGTGGTTCGGCTCACTGTAATGAAAATAAATCAACAGTGCAGCTAAAATATACAAATACAAACTCCTAGCCCTAAAGTCTGGGGGAGCTCTCCGTGTCCCTGTGATGCACAGAAAAATAAATCTTTATTTTTATAGCACTTCTTATTTTAGTTACCAAAAGTGCTTTGGACAAGAATAAAATGGTGAGCACGTGGACGTGTGGAAAGCCAATCAGGACGCGATCGACAGTCCCAGTAGTTGTGGCGGCATAATGTGCGAAAATATTTATCTGATAAAATATATTTACATATACACAGAGCGTATAAGCGAGACAATCCTGGATCCCTCAGACTGACACTGTGTTTAAAACAACTGCAAACCCCAAACAGTCTCAGCAGCCGGGGCAGGGTTGCCAGATTGAGTAGGATTCCTTAGAATAGCATTTTACGCCACTTGCTATGACTGTTAGCTTGTAGTATTTAAAGTTTGATTTAATAAATAATAATATTAATAAAATGTGTTTCTGAATGTTAATTATGTTAGTGATATTGTTGCTTCTTGTTATTGTTGTTGTTATTGTTTATTATTATTATTATTATTATTGAAAAATGATTAGATGATTTCTGGACATGTTGCTGCTAAATTTTATTTTATGTTTACACTCTTAAAAATAGTTCTTGAAGGGTTCTTTAGTAAAGAAAATGGTGACACTGAGGACTCAAAACAGAAATTCCTGCATTTTTTTCAAATTTCCCCATAATCCAGTGATTGAGATGTAATCAGAGATTCAGAGAGGTTTGGTGTGAAATGGTTCAGATGTCTTTACAGTGGTGGTGATAGGAACCAGGGGTCGCCATGACTACAACACAGATATAGACATTTTATTTACTATCCAGAACCACCAGTGAACTTACACGAGTCTTCTGAGTTTATATGGAATGTTGATGATGGAAAATAGTGGAAAATCTAGAATAATAAGTTTTCTTTGGGGACTATTTTGCCTCACAATGCCCTGCATGTCTCCCTCCACCATGAATGGAGTTTACAGCAGCGTTATGATAGGTTGCTGCTTTTGGGCTCCCCCTGCCAAACCTCTCTGAACCACTCTGTTTACATCTCAACCATTTAATTATGCAGGAATTTTGAGAAATGGGTGGAGTCCCCCTTTAAGGGAAATGGTGAGGAGGGCTCATTTAAACAGAGCTGAGATGGAGGACCTGTGTTCAGAGCTGCACACTATCTGTCAGTTTCTTCTGAAATGAAGGTGTTAATAGTGAGTCTGTGCTGCAGTAACAGCCTCTACTCTTCTGGGGAGGCTTTACCCTTGATGTTGAACATTGCTGTGAGGATTTGATGGAGCATTAGTGAGGTCAGGTACTGATGTCCGTTTGCTGTGTGAATGATGGTTGTTTTGGTGTAACTCTGCTGGTTTTAACCCTGATTGATTCTTTCTGTTGGCCTGTTTGTGGTTGAACTCTGTGTTTGGGCTCTCAGGACGCTTTACTCAGCGAAACGGAGGGCGCGTGAGTTTGGCTCTGTGCCAGGACGCTGAACATTTTAATGACTTTGTTTGAAATGCAAATTTAATGGACCACAATTTTTCTCTTGCGCATCCGTGACCCTGTATGTTTGTATGTTTTTCTTTGCAAAGCTTGTCTGAGTGGAATTCTGCACAGGTTTCTACACTTAAAGGGGAATCCCACCAAATTTTCAAAATTTCATTCAGAGTGGTTTGGTGTGAAATGGTTCAGATTTCTGTACGGTGGTGGTGATAGGAACCATACATTTTATTTACTAAAACCACCAGTGAACCTACACGTGTCTTCAAAGCTTTTATGTTGAATGATGAGAAATAGTGATATTTTTTTTTCTCCCTCATCTTTCTTGCAAATCTAAAA